TAGTCGTAGAGATATAATAGTCGCCAGCCCGAAGGCATAAGAAGTAAGGGGAGAAAAGGGGCAAAACGCAAAAGTTACTTATTCGGTCATAACGGTACGACGAAGTAACTTAAGCGCTTATAACTAAAATAGATATACTAATCGGAAAACGACGAATCTAATGGTAAAAACGAATCTTTAATTAAGGTAAAAATAATAAAGATAGTAATCTAACTAGGTAATAAATTAAATAATAAGCATCGTATGTCTTGTACTTACGGGAGCTATGGTTACTCTATATAGGCATAAGGCCTATCGTAACGTATTACGTAATGCATTAAGAGGGCATGTCTTACCGCACTACTACAATAGCTAACGACGGAATACTACCTTTAGAATTAAATACTGGAAACGACGTTAAAACTATTAAGTTTATTAATAATCCTCTTTCTTATAGTCGTTTATTTTCTCTGCGTATTAAATAATTATAAGCCGATTAATAATTAATTATTCTCTAATAATAATTTAGATATATTTACTTACCTCGACGCATTTCGTAATATCGAAGTCGAGATATTAATAATTAAGATCGATACGAATATTAAACGTAAAACTCTTAAAAGATAGCAGCCGAATTAAAATCTCGTTTATTTAATTATTAATTATTATAAATCGATTAATAAACGATCCATAGCCGGTTAATAATCGATTAATTTACTTCTCGATATAATTAATTAGATATTAATACCTACCGCCGTAATTATAACTTCGTTAGTATTAAACTTTAATAGGATTCGTATTATCTACTAATTAATTCTAATCTTTAGCGTTTATTTTTAAATAATATAAAAGAAGACTACATCGAATAAAGTCGCGAAGTTTATAGCGAACCTAATTAATATAGCGTGGGTAGGTTAATCGATTAGCATTCGATTTATAACTAATTATAGAGTAATATTTTATTTACCTTTAATTATATATACGTAAGTTTTTTTATAATTAGCTTCTAATTATATATTTAATAAGTTTATTAATAAATTAAAGTCTAAATACGGTCCGCGAATTAGTAGCTATAATAATAATAATCGATTAGCTATCGATTATAAATTAATTTATAATTATTAGGTATTTACTTACCCCTATTAGCTTTTCTATACCACGTTAGTAATGGACTTTATAATATCGAATTATATGTTAAATATACCATAACTAATCGTAACCTGGATACTTATGCGAAAGGTATAAGCCGAAACCTAGGTTAATTAATTAGGAACTAATTTATAGCCGGTTTAAAATTAATTATAATACGTATTAATTAATAACTTATAGTCTTAATTAATTATAAAGCTAATTAAGCCGTCCTTATCTTAAGTAGTATGCTTCTAATTTATAGGTTTATAATACTTATTAGTAATAAGCTTAAAGATAGTTTAAAATATAAAGTAATACATCGGAATAAAATTAGAATTTATAATTATACGAATTAAGGCAATATCTAGATAATCGATTAATAATTGACTTATAATCGGTACTTAATCGATTACCTACTTCTTCGTGATTACTTGTTATATATAGCTTAAATTATCTCCCGATGGTTAGGAGAAAGAAGATGCTTATAATTTATATTAATCGTATAAGTACGTAATCGAAGAAATAAGCGTAATTATACTGGCGAGAAATAAATAATCATGAAGTTATTTGAACTTTTATATACTTATTAAATGTACTAAGAATTAATTAGAAATCGATCTCGAATCGGCCCGTAATCGATTAGGATTAATTATTTAATTATCTTTATCCTTTTGCTTTTCGAATATATATCGAATTGCTATAAGTCTAGATCCGGTTGGAAAATGTAAGATCCGTTATTTTCGAATCATATATATAATTATATCCTTATTAATAAAAGTAGGATAAAGGTAGGTAATATTAGTAATACCTTTATCTTTTAACTAGCTTTACGTAAGAAGGTATTGATAAAAGAAAGCTATTAATTGTTTAGTAACCGATCCGTAATCGATTCGCATTATGATATAGACTTAAACTTACTTAATTATAAGCGGGGGTTTTAAATTCTCGTAATAAGGTCTTTAACCTTTTTACGTAACTCTGGCTTAATATTACTTAGAGGAGGGATAGGGTAAGTATGGATTCCTTTATAATATAAAAGAATATAAGGAATTAATTCTAAATCGATTAGGATAATTAATTTAAATTAATATTTATAATTTATATAAATTAAATTACCCCTCCCTTATAGGTAGTTAAAATCTATTAATTAATTAGTATATGATTACGAGTCGGTTAAGAATCGATTAATATACTGTAAACCTTTCGCCGTTCTTTATTACGTTAAATAAAGTAATATATTAACGGCGTAATACTAGTAATATTTCCGGTAAGAAGTTATTTTATTAAATAAATCCCGTCGTTATATTATCGATTAATTAACGCTATAAAATGCTTCTTTCTTCTTAAAGTAGGATTAGGGTAAGAGTTAATATATTTCAAGAAATATTAGGGAATACCGGATATTATCTAATATAATTAATTAATAAACGGTTTAATATCGGCTAATAATCGATTAATACTTACGTGGTCTTTAACTACGATTTAAAGAACGTAAGTCTCGTTAAACTTATAATAATATTTCTTTGCTTTATATAACTCTAACATTAATTAAATATACCTATAATTAATTAGAATTCGATTATTAATTATTAGTAAATTAATTCTTACGTTATAGCTCCTTTATGAGATTATTTTTTAGTATTAGATTTTATTTATTAATATGCCTTTTTAATTAATTGGAATTCGGTATCTATTATTTCCGTATATAAATGGTTTCGTAGGTTTTTCTCTAGATATTCGTAAGCTCGTATATTAGTATAGGTATAGGAAGAATAAGAATAAGGAGCGTCGTCGAAAAAGGCACTAGAACCTGATTTTATTAAACTATGTTTTATATAGTAAAATAATACCTATAATTAATTAATAGCCGGTTATGAAATGGTAGTTAATTAATTAAGAAATAATTACCTTTTCTATCGCTTTTTATGTATTATTTATTATTCGACCTTTCTAATTAATAACGTAATAAGTGCTATTCTTACTTATTATAGGTTATATAGGAATATCCGGTACCTATATTATAGTTTCGGTACGATATTCGGCATATATTCTAACGCTTTAATAGGAAGAAATTAATTTTAATTTCTCTAGTATATAATTAACGATAGGATCTTCGTATATTACTTGGACCTATAATCGATTTTAAATTAATTAAGAATTAATCTTTCATAGCTTAGGAGTAATACCTATTCTTCTTCTATAGCGTTCTTATATGTTCCGAATCTAATTTCTTATAGCTCTTATAATTTTAAATCAATTTTAGATTAATTATTAAGGTTCGTAATAATATTATTATTCTAAGATAGGTCTAATTCGAAATTAAGGCTTAGATTTATATCTATATTGGAATTAGATGCGAAATCTATATCTAATTAATTAGAAATTAATCCTTAGATATAGATATAAAAAAGAATGAAATATAATACGTTAAGTATTATATGTCTAACCGATTTTAAATCGGTTACTAATCGATTAGTAATTAAAATTAATATATAGGTAGGTAATTCGAACTTTCGTAGAAGTTTTAATTTTAAAAAGTTTAAAATTAGAAAGTCTATGGGATATACGAAGAGATATATCCGTAGATCTATCCTATTTAGTTAATAGGGAAAAAGCTCGGTTAAATCGCTTAATCCGGTTAGAGGTTGGGGTAAGGTATAGGGGACTAGTTGGGCTAATCTGAGACCTCATCAGCGAGTAGGTCGGCTAAAACTAACCTACCCCGTAGATACATGACGGTTGAACCGCCCTATCTACCTAGGTAGGTACCTCCTAGCCTCTCGACCTACCTGGGTTAGGTACCTACCTACCTATCTTAGCTCGACCCTGCCCACCTACCTGGCAGGTTGCCCGTGTGCACGGCTGTCTTAGGATGTTCCTGCCTAGTCGATAACGGCCTGCGATGATTTGGTCCTGCCCCACACCTGCCGTTGCGCTGCGGCAGGGACTATATACGTGTAAGCAGGTATGTACTTGCCTCTCTACGTACGCCTCCGCTGCGTTGGAAGTAGGTACCTGCTCCTCCTGCCTTGGGTACCTACCTAGGTACGTCAGGCTCTTCCTCTTTCTGGCAGCCAGGCACGAAAAGGGTAGGTAGGTACCTCCCAGCCCAGGTACGTAAGGTATACCTGCCGCCTAGGTTGATACATGAGGCGCCTGCAAATACGCGTAGGTATAGTAGGTAGGTAGGTAGGTGGTATATACCTGCCTACAGAGAGATAGGCAGGCTCCACCATGGCAGGCAGGTCTTGTACATCATAATACATGTACGGGCCCCAGCAGCACCTAGGCGCAGTACGTACTCTGGGTGTATCCCAAGGTACCACATGTGGTCTTAGGTGCGACCCACCCCCTTTGTTGCTTTGCCCCTGCTGCGCGCTACCCGGCGCTGGTCGCTGGCTGGTCGCTCGCCCATGCTGTTCATCCGGAAGGGCGACAAAAGCGCCAAAATCAGTCCCGTCAAGACTCTCAACTCGCTCACTCGGTCGGTCAAATCATATTCTTCCTTCTTTGCCGTCATCACTCCATCCCCCAAAGCGACCTACACCACAGTCAAGTACCCATTGTAGACACGCATCGCCCACGCAAGCCCGCGACGAACCATCTCCTTGTTTCTCTTTTCTTGATATTGTTCTTTTTATTCCCCTACCACGGACAACTCATCCAATTAATTCCCCGTTTCTCACTATCCGTTTCTTTCCCTCCTTCGCCTAGAAAAAAAAAACCTGTGCCGGTCGACGGCCAGGTTCCCCTTCTCTCTACGTCGTGCTTGACGAGTCTCCTCTCTCTCACCCATCCAGCTTCTTCACCACAGCCGACGGTCATCTGCATTGACAGTGACAAGTTCTTTGTCCGCCCATTGGGATTGTCCCAACTGTGCTGCGCTGCTGCACCGCTGCCCACCGCTGCTGCCATCGCTGCTGCCACCGCCAAACCCACCCCCTTTGATTCCCTATCCTTACCCTCTGCCTCTCTTTTCTCTCACCTACTATTCCTGCTCTCTCCCGTCTAAATATCCAATAGACGTAACGCTGTTCCCCAGCGAACACCACAAGCATATATACAATGGCGTCAAAGGTGTGTCTCTATTCCACGCGCAGGCCCAGAGTGCCATTCGCCTTTCCTGGTGCTCTACCACTGCTAACACGCCTGTGTTTTCCCACAGTTCCTACGAGAATACAAACTGGTTGTTGTCGGCGGTGGAGGTGTGGGCAAGTCTTGCCTGACCATCCAATTGATACAGAGCCATTTCGTCGACGAATATGATCCCACCATTGAAGGTTTGTCGAATCCATGACTTCCATCTCCCAATCCGCTGCCGCAGGAACTAATGTCGCCTGTCTATCTCTGTTGCTTAGACTCGTACCGCAAGCAGTGTGTCATCGATGACGAGGTCGCCTTACTCGACGTTCTCGACACGGCTGGCCAGGAGGAGTACTCGGCCATGAGGGAGCAGTACATGCGCACTGGCGAAGGATTCCTACTAGTGTATTCCATCACGTCCGAGCAAAGTTTCGAGGAAATCCGCACTTTCCAGCAGCAGATTCTACGGGTAAAGGACAAGGACCCCACCGACTATTTCCCCATGGTCGTCGTAGGCAACAAGTGCGATCTAGAGAGCGAGCGCGAGGTACCGCGGCAAGGTGTGTACATGTACTCCCTACGCATTTTCCATCTACGCGTGGTATCCCCTCCCATCATCCCGCTAATGCTGTGTCTTAGACGGCGAGGCGCTTGCGAAACAGTTTGGATGTCCGTTCCTCGAGACATCAGCCAAGACCCGAACGAACGTCGACAAAGCTTTCTTTGACCTCGTGCGGGAAATTCGCCACTATAACCGCAATATGCAAGGCCTCCCGTCCGGCGGCGGCGGCAACGGCGGCAACGGCGGCCCGGCTACCAAGATGGAGATGAACGAGGGCGAGGCCGAAGCTGGCTGCTGTGCCAAGTGCGTAGTCCTATGAGACGGGCAAGCTCGAGGCGGGGAGAAGAGAATACCGACGGCGGTAGGAGGGATGCGTGGGAGGAGACCGCGATCTCTCTTCCCAGGCTATATGAGTGTGAAGGTGTGGATGCATCCGACATGAGCGCGATGAACGACCTTGGCGGTTTCGAGACGTTACATATCGGTCCAATCGAGGTGAAGTCGTTGCACGGAAACGGGACTCGAGGTCTTATAGGTCGATTATGGGACCGAGCGACCACCGGTTATCCGACAAAAAAGGGATACAAGGCAAATTTGAGTGGCTATAATATGCTGCCGCTTGAGAAGACAGATTTCTTGTCTATGCGAACTCGTGGCCACGATGCGTTAAGAATACTTCGTGTGGACCTCGTCGGGTCTAGATCATCCCGTGTGTGGGAAAAGTTGGTCTTTCTCTCGCCGGTCATTTTCACTATTTGTAATGTTTTTTTTTTTCCTTCCTATTTTGCTCTTCGTTTTCTTTGCAGTGGTTTCGTGTTATAGATTCCCCCCCATCTCAAGTTCAGGCGTCAGTCCATTCGTCCAATTCAGGCTCGGATACTCCTCGTCGATGTGCATGTCTTGCAAACCTGGCCAGGATTGAAATAAGTCGCGAGTCGGTCTGCTGTTATAGGTTGGTGTGCGACCTGTCCTAGTGCCGAACGCCACCTGTCGATCAAAGAAAGCTCTCATTTACATGTCCTTCGCGCTTCGTGGGGCGTTAGGGCGTGGCTAGGGTATCGTCTTGAGGCTTGGGTAGGCAGCACATATATATGAGAGCTACATAGGAGAACTACCTCGTCTCGAGGGTGAACATGCAAACCTCAACTCCAGGGCATCGTCATCGGCTGACATGACCCTCGGATCGGTTATATGCCATGCGACGGTGCCTAGGACGGGACCGGAGCCCCCCTCGACCGCCTCTCTCGGGTCCCCCACCGATTCGCCGAGTAGACGCGCAGTCGAACTCCAAGGCACCCATTCCCGGGCTCCCGAGAAAACACTCTCCTTGATCTGAACGTTGGTGCCGGACAAAGGACAGGACGAGCAGTGTCTGGCTTGATTGACATCCACTCTGTTTTGTGAAACCCGCACGTGGACTGCTTTACATAAGTACGACGATTCTCCGTCAGGTTATACTAGGGTCCTCAATACATGTCGTCTCCAATGCTCGAGACGCCGAGGAGCTGCGTGTTAAGGTCTGGCAACACGTTGACATACGATATTAGGGCACCCGGGATCCGTCCCACGATCCAACTGTGATACTAACTCTTTACCTAAAAGACAACCCGTGTTCTAATCCGCATAGCATCTGAGGCAGACAGCATGGCGTCTCAGCCAGAGTCGTCTACAGCGTTTGAGGTAGACGCATCCCAATACCCATTCACACCCCGTGAGTTCCTCTCATCCGCTGTCATCTTGTCACCCTCTAACCTCACTCGGCCCATCGAGGTGCCTCCCAGGGCAGGGCTAGGACCGAACAATTGGCCCAGAGGTCGTCATCCCCCGCGATATAACCCCCTTGGCCTCGAACTCTCGGCGTGCGCGGGGTGCGCCTCGAAGAAGACGCATCAGACATGTGACGCCGATCCGAATACCCCTCCGGGTCTAGGATGTACTGAGTGCAAGAAGAAAAAGATAGAATGCCGGTGGAACAGATCCCTCCTAGCGCCCAGGCCCGACGGGATGACAATACCGCTGCAATGCGACGAGTGCACCGCGGCCGGCGAATTGGTAATGTGCTCGTGGCGTTTCCACAATGGCGACTTTACCCAGCCGTGCGTTAGGTGTGCGACGGACCCTGGCCGGGTCTGCACCCATATGGGCGTCAACCCATCGAACCTGATCGCTGCCCGGCACACCAATTACACGAGGACACAGCACTTGCCGCCGGATGTCCTTGCAAAGATAGCGAAGACCGATCGATCCGTCAACGTGACTACGACTTTCGTCCCCGGCGGCCCCGACATGGTAGTACCCTTCGACCAGACGGATCGCGTCAAGTGCGAGCTCTGCTCGCTGCGCTGCTTCCCGCGAGAAGAGAAGGCGCAGCGGTGCAACGTAAACCTCGATACGCCCGAGGGCTGCAAGATCTGCGCCGACTACGGCATCGTCTGCGTGGTGAACAACCAGGCCCTGCCGCCGTTTCGCGGCCAGAGGACGAAGGCGTACCCGAAGTTCGGGAACTGCGACCGGTGTATCTCAGAGACGCGGCGGTGCGACCGAACGCGGCCCTGTCACAACTGCAGGGTCCGGGGAGTCCCGCACCTCTGCACGGGGCCGCTGAAGGGCTGCTTCTGGCGTGGCGCTCCCGGCGACGACATGGCGACCTACTTCGGAGCGCTCGGGTTCGGCCCCGGCGGTACGGCCATATGGGTCGGGCACCGCGGCTTCACCATCCCACGCGACCACCACCTCCAGTTCATGCGCCACATCGAGGAGATGAACTACGCCGGCACCACCAACATCCCCCCGCCGCCGCCAGCCCGCGACCTGCCTCGAACACAGCTGGCGGGAGAGCAGCAATCGCTAGAGCTAGAGCCTCTGCCAGAGCACCTGCAGATGGACATACTGCAGCCGGACACACAGCAGCCGGACATACTGCAGCCGCAACCGTTGCAGCCGCTAGACCCAGTAGAACAGCGCCTGATGTTGCTTCTGGGAGAAGGCCAACCGGCCACGAGTCCCAGCGGTGGCCTCGGCTTTGTAGAGGGAAGCGGGACATCCGATCCTTTGGGAATTCTTGGACAACCCCCGGACATTGGTCCCATAGACCCCAACCTTATGGCTGGGATAATTCCCGAGGGTGCTGGCTCTTCGGGAGATAGCACGGCGGACGCGGGGCCTCCCATGGACGAAGGTATGTTGCAACTCATGAATTACATGACGGAAAACCCGCCCTCAGGGGGGGCTAGCACCAGCGGACCTGGCAGCTCTCCCGGGGGGTTCGGATTGTCGCAAGGGGGTGCTAATAATTTTGGCGCGTTCTCTCAAGGAATCGACCTGTTCAAAAACATACCTCCGATCGGGACCTCCGGGGCTCCCGGATTGCCTACCCCCCCGGTGGACTTTCCATATACTACAACTCCTTCGGGCAATACGGGGTCCTCTGGGGGGTTCGACTCGCTTGTGAGCATGCCTTCGATTGGGGCAAACATCCCCGGGGCACGACTGGCAGCGGCACCAGCAGTGGTACCAGCAGCGGCTCCAGCAGCGGCTCCAGCAGCGGCTCCAGCAGTAGCACCAGCAGTGGCACCAGCAGCGCCTCCAGCCGTCGGCCAGCCTGGGGATATGGCAACTCCCGGCGGTACCGATTCCGCGTGGGATATTGCTTTACTCCATGACGACGGCTCTACAGTCCCCATCGATCTCGAATTAACCAACTTCGAGCCAGCGCCAGACCCGCAGCCGGTCGAGGAATCCCCACAGCCGTTAGGTGATCCGGAGTGGCAAGAGCTCCACGCCCACAGAACGATGACGCTCGAGGTGCTCGCTCTGATAGACCTTGTCGACGAAGACGAAGCGGCCATGTTCCAGGAGTTTCCAGACTTCATCGCGCAATACCGCCAGATCTGGGATGCCGCCAAATTCCTCGTCGAGCAGAACATCATCATCGACCTCGCCAGCATCCGCATGCGCCTGCGGCAGCACCTGTTCGCTGCCGTCCCGGCCAACCAGTCCATCATCCTCCGCGACATCCGCAACTACCTCGAGGCCCGCTACGCCGCCATCAGCGAGATGATCTGGGAAGAAGTCGCCGTGAACGTGCCGGACGGCGTGGACGCCGACGTGCTCGAGGCCCTCAACCCCGGACGCGCGCCGCTGCGCCTCGTGCAGATGGTGCCGAGCGCGCGCGCCGAGTCGCCGGGGCCGCCGCGCCCGATCTACCCGCCCGAGGCGCCGCTGCCGCCCATCCCCGACGCCGCGAGCGTCCCGCGGGTGGCCCCCGAACACGCCGAGTACATCGACGTCGCCAAGATGACGCGGCCGCCGCCGCCGCACCCGAATCCCGGCCCGCGCCCGGCGCTCGCGCTCGTCCCGCTCACCCCGATCTACCCCGACGGCCGGCGGCGCGACGGCAGCCTCGCGGCGTGCATGGCGAGGCGGCCGGGCGGGCAGCCGTGCGGCCGCGTGACGAGCTTCGTGTGCGAGTGCCTCGAGCACCCGCTGCACGCGCCGTTCCCGGTGTGCGAGACGTGCGACGACGCGAACCGCGAGGCGTTCCGGGAGGAGGTGGAGCAGGCGGTGCTGCTGCTGCGGGCGTACGCGTGCGCGGGGTGCGCGGCGGGCGTGGTCAGCAGCCCGGCGACGTACCGGGCGAGCGGCAAGCGGGTGTGGGGGATGAGCCCGGTGCGGGAGGCGGAGATCGGCGGGTTCGGGGCGTTCGCGCCGGTGCCGCGCGCGGGGTGGGAGAGCGCGGGCTCGTTCCGCGAGGACCTGCTGCCGTACACGGGGTGCGCGTGCGGGCTGAAGCTGCTGGGCCGGCGGCTGTGCAGCCCGCACCGGCTCAAGCTGACGATCCAGCTGCGGCGCGAGGCGGTGGCGCTGTGGAACTGGGCCACGGCCGCCTTCGGCCGCGGCCGCACCTGCCCCTGGTGCCGCGACCGCCCCGGCGTCGACGCCTACGACTTCGCCGGCGCCGGCGGCAACGGCGGCATCCAGGGCCGCGCCCAGCCCCGCGCCTGGCAGTGCCGCGCCTGCCACGACGTCGTCCTCGACCCCTTCAACACCGTGCCCCCGCCCGGCGTCCTGGCCGGCGCCCAGCTCGGCTGGGTCCCCCAGGAGGAGCCGGCCGCCGGCCACGACGTGGTCCTCGACCCCTTCAACACCGTGCCCTCGCCCGGCGCCCTGCCTGGCGCCCAGCCCGGCTGGGTCCCCCAGGAGGAGCCGGCCGCCGGCCACGACGTCGTCTTCGCCCCTGCTGACCCCACCCTCGCCCCCACCCCCGCCCCCGACATCGACATCGACATCGACCTCGCCCCCGCCCCCGCCCCCGTCATCGACCTCACGAGCCCCGGCCTCAGTCCGCCCGCCGAGGACTGGTTCCTGTCCGGCATGTCGACCGCCTTCTCCCCGCCGGCAAACCTGGAGCAGTAAAAGAAAAAGTCATCGTCGGGCATTGCTGGCTTGCCTGTGCGCGGGGCGGGACAAGTCAGTTCGTCCAAGGTAAGCAGCACAGTAAGCACGGCTAAATCAGGTAAGGAAGGAGGCGCGAGACGCGGCGACGACGATATGTGTGTGTGTCTACGCCGGTCTCTGCGCCGCGAGCTCATGCTACTAACTAGCTAACCAACCCACGGCACAGCTTCGTCTAGATACTTGAGGTAAGGGAGGGTCAGTCTTTTTTTTTTCTTTCTTATTTTACGCGAGGGTAGGTAAGTAAGCGCAGATAACTCTCCGGCTTGCGAGTTATGCACGCACTGCTGTTTTGTTCTAACTATTTTATTCCCAACGAATACAAGACCTGTACTAGAATCCACCACGCCGCTCCTGGGAATCGGAGCTATTTATAAAACATTGCTTCTTTCTTTTTTCGCGCCGCCCCGAGAGACAACGTAGCTATTCCCGCTGGAGAGCCTGCAGGATTCGAGGGATTCGCTCGCACGGCGAGGAGGAGCAGGAAGCGAGGGAGAGAGGGAGGAGAGAGATGGGGCGGGTTCTCATCCGCCCCCCCTCCCCCCCCCCCAAGAAGGACACGATAAGTAAGTGCTAGGTCGTGTGGTTCGAATTTCGGTTCTACGTAACGCAGAGAATCATCTTGTGACGGCGAAGATGCTCGATCGCGATAGAATCTAGACATCTCTTAGCGTGTTCGCAACCAGACTCACTGTTGATATAAACACAGGCGGACCATAGAAATCACAATACCAAATCCAACTTTACACCCACCGCTAGTGCAACATCGCCCGCCGTCTCGTCGTGATCAAAAACATGTCTTTGCTGGCTAACTCTCAATACCGATATGTGTACACATGCGCGTGTCGATATCTATATTGTATCCCAACTCCGTTTCCACGTTACGCGTCTTCTATATCGGGGTAATATATAATATCGTACAACACACCATACACGCATGCACGCTCCTTTTTTTACACTTTCCCGCCGAAAAAAGACATATACAGATGCGATGTATATATAATTTATAGACCCAACAAAACGATATGTATATATGCTTCTTCTTGGCGGCTCAGAACCCGGGACACCGCTTGTCGAACGGCTTCTTCTGGTTGCCGGGCAGGCAGACCATCTCGTTGGCGAAGGCGCGCCACCGGTCGAGCAGGTCCGTCTGTCGGACGCCCTCGTGCTGGGGGTAGAAGCTGAGGTGGCCGACGACGCTGCGCGTGTCGATGACGAAGGGCCGCCGCACGCGCTTCGGGATCGTCACCGTGAAGTCCTGCTCGTCGTCCTCCGCGATCGGTAGCGACGCCCGCACGTCGTGGCCCCACAGCGCGACGAAGTTGAGGTTGTACCGCTTGTACTGCGTGTTGTACAGCTGCTCCGCCCCGGGACCGCCCTTGTTCGCCTCCTGGTGCCGCAGCGCCGTCGCCGACGCGTTCGCCGCCGCCGGCAGGTGCTGCGGCGACCCGAAGAAGTACCGCGCCATCGTGTTATCCTCGAGGTTCCGCAGCAGCGAGTACTGCTGCTGCGACGCGATCGCCCAGGACCTCCACGCCGCTCCGTACATGGACTCGACGCCCTCCTCGCCTCCACGCAGGTAGTTCACACCCATCGGGGTCTGTAGCAGGTCGAAGGGGTTGTTAGACAGCAGCAGGAACGGGTGACCGTCGTAAGGCCGCCTCGGGTAAATTTCGTCCTCCATCGATATGGAGTTGAGCTTGTTGATGTTAAGCTCCGGTAGACTCGACGAGGGAAAAAGGTCCTTATCGGACGGCCGCCACGACTCGGCGGCGGCGTGTGCTGGCTTATTTCGGGGGTCGGGTCGGAAAGGATGAATAGCACCCATGTGATAGTGTTCGTAACCCGTCAAGGGACTATTCACTAAATTGGCCGAGATGGCGAATGGGTGAGGGGTCGCGATCCTGGTATGGACTAACTGAGGGATGGCGTCGGGGTGGATGAATACCTGCGGGCGCCACACGTGAGAAAAAAAAAGGGTTTCTCTGGCTGCGTCGGCAGAAACAACTTACGATATCATCATCAATCTTCACGTATATCGTGTCGTCGTCAACAACGGAATCCCATATACAGCCGTAGCTCGACCCTTGGCACGGGCCAGATTCTACTATATGGTAGAGGCCCTCTCGCTTCGAAACCAGATCGCGGAGAAATTCGAGATCGTCCTGGTTGTTCGTGTGCACCATGAAATTGATCGCATCGAGGTATCCGCCGTTCGCGGCGAGGTTCTGCTGCAGGTAGCAGTCCAGGAAGTCCACCGTCCTCTTGCGGCCGTAGAAGACCAGGGCGACGACCCTGATCCCTTTCGGCTTCTTCCACCCACCCTTGGGAGCAAAGCTCTGCAGCTGGGGCTTCGCCGTAGCGTTCCGATGTAGGGGAACATAGTGGCCGTCGGGGCCGACGGGCCAGGTGGTGCATTGGCCGGGCACGCTGGGCCGCTCACCGACGGCGTGCTGCTGAGAGTCGGGCCGCTGGAAGGGAGCGAGTCTGTAGAGTTCATGGTGGGAGACCTCGAAGATGGCCATGGACAGGCCGAGGATAGCTACGATGGTGATGATCAACCTCTTGAGGTCAAATTTTCGGCGGAGCAGGTGGTGGTTGACATAGCGCCACCAGCGCTCGTGATCTACGCCCATCGCTAAGGGGGCCTTGGGTCGTACGCGATGCCGGTCTGTTCTATCGTCATCCCATCCCGGGTAGGTGTGCGCAGACGACTCGGTAGCCCGTGATTCTCCCATGAATGCTTCAACGGCCCTCGAGTGGGCGTGAAGCGTAAAATAGCATCGCGAGACGAGGCGAGCAGCCAGGGCGGGAGGGAACGGCAGTCTTATTTCTCTAGGGCGGTGGCGCCAAGCACGACGAATGACCGAATCAAAGCAATGGAGTCTAGCCCTACCAGTCGGATGGTAAGGGATGGACGCGGGTCCTTCTTAGCTAGGCAAGAGGCGTCTAGGCTGTGTAAGGTCGCTCTCATTAGCTGGTGCCCGTCTGCCGCCCAGCGAGCTGTGATAAGCCACGACGGCAGGCTAAGACGAAGCCCCTGAAGTGCCAAGGATCAGAGAAGGATCAGTCAGCGAATCCTGCGGGACGATATGCCCGTTTGAGATTGTCGGGCGCAGGTGGATGTGCATGGTGAGGACGTCGTGTGTACACCCATATGCGTTGTAGCTAGCACTAACGTCGGGGTGCTGCACCGGAGGCATTCTTATTCCCATCATTACGATTAAACAGCATCGCGCGTGGAGGTGCGTATGTATATACAGTGGTATATTGAGGAGGAACGTCTCGTCGTCGTCGGCAGCGACGGCAGAGGCGAAAGGATGCGCCAAGCCCGCCGAGACCATGTTCGCATTGATAATAGATCGCATAGGACAAGTGGTGGGTAGCAGCGAGAGATGATGTGTGTATAGTATGTGTGCGCTATTTGGTGTAGGCCCATTGGCGACGAGAGGCTTTCCTGCTGGCGCGCTTGGTTGCCGTGTTGTTGTTTCTCGAGTGGTGCCATACAGGACCCCTTCGCGGATAGCGAGCTAGTCAGTCCCATCCGTGTCTGGGGGAGGTGGGACGTCGGCAAAGCGGCATAGTCGTATATCTATGATTAGTGGAATAACGGAGAGCAGGCATGTACCTGTATTGGGTAGCTTAGGTACCTCCTCCTCAGGCACCTACTCATATGGGCATATACAAGTAGGTGTCTGCCACCGACGTAAGAGACGTCCATCCGCGCAGGCGTTGGCTCCTGCTCTGCTTTCCCGGCGTGCCTATGTGCGTAGGTACCTGCTCCGTATGTATCAATCCGATATACGCCATGCCGCTAACGGGGCGTCTCTCGTAAGGGTGTCTTGAGGCAGGCACCACGTTGTGCCTGCCAGTAGGTAGCCACTTCGTCTGCCTGACACGCCAAGGATGTCCATATGGGTAAGGGAAGGCGCCTCCTTCTCGTCACGGGCCTCTCTTTCCAGGAGTCTTGCCGCAGTCGTCGGCGGGTTCGAAACCCATTCCCGCTCTAGGCACCTGCCGGCCGGTGAATACTAGGATACCTAGGTACGTGCAGGAAGGTACCTACTCCACCTGTGTGAGGTTGGGCACTACATCGAGGTATCTGCGTCTCTTGCTGGTCCTCTTGAGGTAGGCACAGATCAGTAGGTTACTTGACGAAGGATAGGTTCGATTCCTAACAGCGCTACTTGGTAGTCTTCGCTATTTAGCTCATCTGGCACCTACCTAACCTAACCTCTACGTAGTATTATATCTATTACATAAGCAGACAGGTTCACGGCGAGGATGCGTTGCGTTGAAAGCGCGCCAGTCTGAGAAATGGCCCTGTTCCCTACCCATGCCCACACCACCTACCTGTCAATGACCACCTATGCAACCGAATAGAATATGTGCCCCTCCGAATGAGGAAATACTGAGTTCCCTGACTCGGCTATCTTTACTACGTAATATACCCACGAGGCGAAACCCATCCGAACCACGTACGTTGACACATATTAAAGACCCAGCAAGCTGTGGTGACTAGGAGGGTGGGGAGGGGGGGACGACAGCAATTGTGGCACGGGGCTCCAAAATTCCCAACTCGACGCCGGCAAGGCTGGATGCAGACACGTAGAGAGGGGGGGGGGGGGGCGCGTAGGGAGTGATCCGGCACACACGCACGCACATACTAGGCATATTAGTAGATGCCTATGCGCTGTGTGTGGGCGAACCACACGAATACGGCGATGCGGCGAGCCTTCTCGAAGAAGCACATGGCCAAACTCGCCTAGTCGCAGTCCGAGTCTCGAATAGCATCGCTGCGCCACGCCTCCCCGCTACTATATATGTGTCACGGTGTCCCTCGTGGTAAGTCGCACCTGTGTAAATATTCTGCGCACAGCTCAGCACGACCCGACAACGCCGGATATTATCCCTTAATCTACCTATATAGTACAGCCTCCCCCGTCTTCTATGCCCTCGTGACGATAAAACCCGCGTCTGTCTATGCACAACCGTCGTCCCGTGCAACAGGGCATCTCTTTTCCTCTCGCGCGTTCGCTCTCTTGTGCAGTTGTCTATCTCCCAAGGGCCCCGTTATCAATGCTCCCGAGCTCCCCACTATGTAATCGTACAGCCGACAGATGAATGCCCGTCGAAAGAGGGGCACAAAAGCAAGCGTGCTGACCCATGTGCGCCCGCCCAAACCCATCCGACCCCCCTTTGTCATCCTAAGCAAAAGAGATTAATGCATCACTCATGTCATGTCTCATGGTCTAGCGATTCCTCTTCCTTTTCGTCTTCGTTATCATCTCAGACATAAGCCCCGCCCCCACCGCGGGGTGGACTCCGGCCCGGTGGTGGTCGAGGCGGCGAGGCCCGCGGGGTCGCGACTCTGCTGCCGCTGCCGCTCTCGTCATATCTCCGCCGGTCCCTCGTCCGGTAGTCCTCGTACCCAGTCTCCTTGTCAAAGTCACTTCTCGAGGGCGGGCTGTTCGTGATGCCCCTACCGTACCGAGCCTCCACCCTCTTGTCGTCGGTATATGCCTCGCCGTCGTCGTCGTCGCTATCCTCCGAATCGTCGTACCGGTCCGCCACCGTTGTCGTCGCCGCCGCCGCCGTCGTCGTCTGGGAATCGTCCCTAACGAGACCTAACCGCTCTTCTTCCGTCGCGTTCTTCGCCTGCGCCTGCCGCTCCAGGTAGCCCCGTGACCCGAGCCTTTGGTGGGATGGTGGTCGTCGCGATGATGAGGATAACAACGGGGGCTGTGCGAGAGCCTGGCCATGTTCGTGTAGCGCGACGCCATCGGCCTGGTGGCGGCGGAACACGTTTTGAAACGAGAATTGCCGACGTGCCGAGGGACCCTCCGTGTGGGGTGGCGGCGTTGGCGGCGCTAGGGAGGAGACGCCGGTATCCGGCCTCGGCGGGTCGAAGAAATGGATTTGCCGTGCGGTACTGCCCGAGGCTAAGCTGTCGGCGCTGCTGTATTCGGTCTTCCGTAGGTCGTCCGGAAGTCCGTACACGTGTTCGTGACTGGTTCCGTAGGGACTAGCCTCGCCCCCGTACTTGTGGCTCGGGACGGCGATGCTGGTCAGCTGGACTGGGTGTATCGGACTCTGCACCCGGAGGTCGGGGTCCCCTTGGCGAAAGCTAGGATGCCCCGGGAGGACACTTCTCGTTCGGCTCCGAATCGTACCGGCGATGCTCGATAGCATGCTGGGAGACATCTGGCGCTGACGTTCTTCGGCTAGCTCCTCTTCGGTCAGGAATCTCGTTCTCCCTAGGGGCGGATGCGCCGGGGTGGTGGCGGCGCTTGACGTCGTCGTCGGCCGACTCCTGTGGCTACCTATGGTCGTCCTCCTCCGCCGCAACCCATCCCATTCGTAAAGTGGCTGGCCGTCCTCGCTGACCGGCTCGAGGCGCTCCGACTCCTTTTCTTCGCGAAGCCGGCGGAATTCTTCCTGTTCCATCTTCTGTCGTGCCATGGAGATTCGGCGCACAATAGCAGCGGTGCCACGGATGGCGTCGGCTTTCGGTTCCGTCTCGGGCTGCTCTTGCTCGGCGATGGTATGAATCTGGTCGAGGTCTCCGGAAAAGACGGCGGCATCCGGCACGTCTTTGGCGGATTTGGACAGCTGCAACAGGACGACGCCCGCACAGATGGTGAGGAATCCCATGACCACCGTGACAATCTGCATCGGCGTTCCCTTGAACCCCTGGAAAAGGATGGCCGAAGTGATCATCGTCGTGCTCGTAAAATACACGTAGTATGTTGGCGTGACCATGGCAGCATTAAAGAGATTAAGAGCTTTCTACAAGCCGCAAGGATTAGCATAGTTCATCAGTCAGGTAAGGGAGGGGGAGGGGGAGGGGAAAAAAAAGACTTACGTTCAAGTAAATGATCTCTGTCAACAGGGTCGCTATAACGAAAACGAGGACAACATAGAGAAACCATTGGTTGAATTGGGGCGTGCCCCCGATCTGGGTGACAATGGAGGCGCCGAGGCCCTGCGTAGCAACGACACTCAGGCCTCCGATCCAGCTGCAGACGGAGAGGTAAGGAAACATGTTCTTCTTGCCGTACCGCGGCCCAACCCAGAAAGCGACGAATGCGGACCCGATGAGAACGACACCCATGTAAGAGAGGAACGCCGGAGTGACGACGAACTTCTGCAGCTCCTGGATGTTGGCCACGGACGATTCGGAGGGGGCGTTGAGGACGATGATGACGGACCCGATTATGCAGAGGAAGCAGGCGACCTTGCCGACCATGCTGAGCCTCTCCTTCAGGAAGATGGCGGAGAGTATGGCGGTGATGACGACGGAGAGCGCGCCCAGGGACGTGACCAGGATGGCGTCGGTGAAGGAGTAGGCGACAAAATTGCAGATCTCGCCGATGATCATGAGGGTCATGCCGCCCCACCAGTAGGCATTTTTAAGATAGCCATAACCCTCGCCGGCGACCTCGTTGTACTTCTCGTTCGCCCTGAGCAGGCCGACCTTCTTCATCACAAACGAGATGCCGATGAAGCATCCGGAAGCGACGGCGAGCGATATGCCGATGGCCTTGAAGGCAGGGGGGCGAGCCGGCTTATCGGGGTCGGAGGTGTTCGTCTCGTCGGCTCTGGCGTATAGCTGGTTGGCCACGGCGAGGACTCGCCCCGTCTGGTCCATATTAGCGTCCGGGGGGGGGGGACAGCGACAAGTCGCCGTCTGGAAGGGTGGGTTGAGTTCGGTGCGTCGCCAAGTTGTCGGATGCTGGTGGGCTTTTGTTACCGGAGGAGACGGAGGAGGGTCCGAAGAGGAGGAGCGAGAGAAATCGGATATAGGTGGTTGGCGGACTAGATCTAGTAGCGCAAAAGGTATCCAAGCATGGGAACGAATTACAACAGCCAAAAAACTGAGGGGGATAGAGAGAGGAGGGTAAGGAGAGAGAAAGGCGAGAGAAGCCGGCAGTCCGTTTCAATGATCAGTAGTTTGTTTCGTGCTCGCGAGGATCGGTGGGATCCTCGGTTCCCGTGTCGATGTCGGTTCGCCGCGACGCAGAAGCTCCAGCTGCACGCACTCACGCACCACACCACACACACAGCCCCAAACACCCAAGCTACTACCGTCTACGTAAGTATCCGGTGGGCTGGCCAGGGGTGCGACAGGGTCGTAGTGGGAGCGGCAGGGGGGCGGATGGGGGTTGCAGGACGGGGGTTTCTCGTTGCCAAAAAAGCGGGCAAGCAATGGTGCGAAGGATGGGACAGCTAACAGATGGGAAGCACTTGGCGTGGGAAGGAAGCGATAGCGAAGTGGTCGCGAAGTGGTAGGTATTTATTTAAATCGAGAGAGAGAGAGGGAGATGGAGAGGGTTGCGCCGCAGAATGAAGTGTGTAGGACGCAGTGGCTCGGTACGAGACGACTGATGTGGGAAGATTTAGCTAGTCTGTACCTGGCGGGCGTTTTTAGGGCGGGTTCTTGAAACCGACAGCAACAAGGAATGACCGGTGTGGAGCAGCACCCCGCCCTCTGTCTCTGCATATGTCTTCTTCTTCTCTTTGACCTCGTTGGTTTTCAGTCGGCGGGCGTCAAAGGCATTGTTGTGCGGTTCGCTTGTTGGCGTCCGGCGATTGTTGGTTCCACGAGAGAGGGCATCGGCGGGGGGGAGACGTAATAATAGGTGGATGAAAGAGGGAGGATAAGAGAGGGAGAGACAAAAAAAAAAGGTTGGCTCGCTCAGCTGGACAAAGGCCGGCCAACCTCGACTCTGCTGGTTCCCCCGACCTCGCGGCGCCTGCGGGAAGGAGATGGTCGATGTGCAGTCGATCCAAGCGCCGGCTGATCGTCCAGGCGACGGCCACGCCCCTTACGTATGTGCGCCAGAGTACGTTGCATACGCCTCGTAGCAGCCCGTTGCGCGCGCGTGTATGTATACTTGCCTATGTATGTGCTGTTTACTTTCGCACGCGGCTGATATGATGGGCATGTCTTGTCGGCCCTTACAGGCGGCTTGTACCTACGCTGGCCAGGCAATCGACGCTACGTAGTATTGGCAAGCAATTGTCTCGCAGGGGGGTTGGCGCGGTCCCTTAGCGCAGGTCGGTTCGATACGGTGCCCAGAGTAAGTCCCTACTAAGCCTAGATATAGGCTGGGGTCTGCCTGTCACTACCTAAGGTACCACCTACCCCCATCGCACATCCTAACTACCAAATTCTTTCTTCCTAGTACTAGTATTACATCTCGTATCAACCTAGGACCTATATCTGCATTCCCAGGTAGGTATATCTAGGGTATACTATAGATCGCAGCACCCTGGAAGGTATACAGGTGGGTGGGTGTGCCTGCGGGGGGCGACCAGCCGACAGATCCGATCGTGACCCAACCTCTCCGTCTCTGCCCTCCTTGTGGTCCTTAGCACCGCGACTTCAACTTCGGCTCGTGGGGTCGAGAGGAACGTCACCTATATCTAGGATCGCGCGTGGCCATTTGCGAACATGGAATTGGTACCTACCTACACACGTAGAGCCGGATACGATTATCCCATCGGCGTTGTCAGGTGCCGGGAAAGATGGCCCGGTACGCTTCCAGGCACCGCTCAATATACCTAGCAGCAGCAGCGCCAGATCAGAGTCAAAAGTCGACCTGTTCCATGGCACCGGGACCACTTGCCATTCCAAGCACATCGTACTATTGTCACCGCACCCTACGTGGAGAATGGGAATCCCTGCATGCTACCCCGAGTTTCTCACCAACTCGGTGCCTGCGTTCGTCACCCAAATGAGGCAATGGGTGTATCATCTAAGCCCTCACATGCATCTACCTATCGATTGCGCGGGGGAGCTCTTAGCGGCTACGTCAGGTCCTCGAGTCTAGAGCCTGCTTCCGATACACCCCTCCCCCCAAGGAGTGCTGCTGGGTGAGAGAGGCGTACGCGTTACATATACGTTGCGGCCCCGGCGCGATGCTACGGTGATAGTTCGATGCCAACGCTCGATTTGCGCCCTCGACTGGGAGACGTCTACCACGTCCCTACCTCCTGTCAGCGCAGCCCTCGTCCGCCGTGACTGCGGCGCGATAAATATAAGATACGTGCAGACGTGCCTCACCCTGCACGGCGATCGCGCTCCAGGCAGGGCCGGGCACTGGATCAACCGCTATCGTCGACCGCCATCCCATCCTTGGCAGCTTGGTAGCGGCGATAATAGGTATAGCCGCCGGCCCATCTCGAGGACCCGGGGGCCGCCTCCTACTGCCACGCCCGTCCCAGACTTGTTCTGCGTGCCAAGTGCGAGCCAAGCTGTGTCAGCAGTCGGTCTCGGCCGTCTGGGAGTTTCTATCCCTCCAGTCTCTGAGCTGTCCGACAGGTCTCTAGCACTTGAGCAGCCGCGGCAGTCAGTCAGTCGGTCGTGAAGGTAAGAAAACAGAGCAAACCGAACTCTAGCCTTATATGGAACCAAATAATCTACAGCCGGGGAGGGGGGGATCATCATGGCTCGGCTGCAAACTAGCACGGGCAGAACGGTGGCAGTGCTCGGGCGCGACCCCGCGGGATATCCAAGTTTCGCGCTCTTGGATTACGTCGGTGCCGTCGATCGCGCGCTGCCGCCGCTAGTATAAATGAAGCCGACGGGTTTTCTTTTCGACACGAAGCCCCGCCCGAGCCAGCGAGGTAGGTAGATGCCAGCAAGGCAGCGAATTCCCCCCTATGCCACACCCCCCCTCTACACGACGCCCGCACTAGAAGAACAAACCAACGCACCCCGGACACCCGTGCGGCCGCACCCCGAGCCCCCGGCGTCCGCTGACGCCCACGTCGCGGGCGAAGCGACGGTCCTTGTCGTGCCTCCTGCTCGCCGCGTGCCCCGAGGGCCTGGCCGGCGCGCGCTACGCGGGGAGCAAACAAAGACCGCCGCCCGAGATGCGCGGGCCGGGCGACGGCCCGATGCGGAAGCGGACCGCGGTGCCCGGGCCGCTGGCGGGGCGGGTTCAAGCGAGGGGATGTCCCCGGGGCCGGTGTTCTCGTCGCGCTGAGGAGCGGAGATGATGGGAGGGGGCTATTCCTCGGTGTTTCCCGCCTAGAGTTGGGGGTAGTGAGTATGGTACAGAAGGGGGAAGATGGGTAGGACTGTAAATTTTCTGGGTTACCAAAGTAGTAATTCGCACCCTGATCTTTAATGGCCGGCTGATTGTCTATCTCTGAGAACGCGAGGGAACCGGGCGGCTCACGTGGAAGATATCCGGTCGCCGTATTACGCGTGTTCAAGATTGGGGTCAACTTGCATATGACCGCTGGACGCTCCCTTTTCACGATATCCAGGGCTTCTTTGCTGTGTTCTTGAACAGTTAGTACCCAGCCCGAGATACGTCAATGTCGTGTTGAAACCTAGTAAGGTATCCTAGTTGCCGAAATTTTCGCGGCTTGTGAGTATCTCGTGCCTACTTCATCTCATCAATACCATGCCAGAGGGGGTTCGTACCCATCCGATCGCGCGTACAAGTTCCAGAATATCACGTCGCAGAGTGCAAGACAAGGTTGGAGTATCCGCGGTCGAGACCGTGAAATGTATTAATGATAAGTATCTGTTTGTAGGTATATATTGCTTCATCTGCACTCATCTACGCGTCAACCGTCACACATTGCGCCCGAATCTATCTAGAGCCGCCACACCGCTAGTAGCAAAACGCCGGAAGCCAGCCAGAGCTGGAAGACGGAGGGGGGAGAGAGGGGAACGCTCGGAATCTACGCGTCGGCGCGGGCTCAAGACTTGGCGTCGCCGATCGCCTTCTTCTCGTCGATGGTCTTGGGCTCGGGGAGGCGCTCCTCGTCGCTCTCGCGGTCGGAGTCCTTCTTGAGGTCGTTGAAGTCGGTGTTGAGCACGAACTCCTCCTTGTCGATGTGGCGGAAGGTGAACCAGAAGATGATGGTGAGGGTGCCGCCGGCGATGGTGGGGCCGGCGAAGGCCCAGATGAGGTAGGGGTCGCGGATGGCCGGGGCGGTGGCGAGGCCGATGGCGGCGGAGATGGCGGTCATGGCCAGGTTGAGCGACGCGACGAGGCCCTTCATGTTCTTGGGCGCGCGCGAGTACGCGATGCCGTACGCCGTCACGTTGACGAAAATCTCCGAGATGGCCGTGATGATGACGGGGATGGCGTAGTACGCGTACGACACCGTCGACACCGTCGTCTCGCCCTCGGGCAGGATCTGCGCGCACGTCGTCGAGTTCCACCCGCAAGGCGACGTCTTGTACACGAAGTACTGCAGGATCGAGTAGCCGACCGAGCCGACGGTGCCCAGCGCGAAGCCGAAGGTCATCCGGGAGATGGGACCCCACTTGATGCCGCGTTTGCGGAGGAACGGGTAGATGAGGTGGTTCATGATAGGGACCACTAACGTGACTGGTTAGCCTCACAATGCCCCGCGCGTGGTTTTCGCGTTTTGGTCGCGGGCTGGGGACTCACTGATAACGATGGAGACGGAGTTCAGGTTGTCCAGAAGATCGTTGGGCAGGCCGTTGGTATCCATACCGGCAGTGAGAGCGTTGGCGGCGGCGCCGAGACCGCCGTCGTTGATCTGCCAGATGGGGGAGAATAGGAAGATACCGCAGGCTTGGAAGGTTCGGCGCACGTCGTTGACGAATTGGTCATCATATTCGTATACCTTCGTGCTGCCGGCGGCCCTGCGTACGCTCGGCTTTCCGAGCTCCCAGAAACCCTTCCGCCCGATGCGCGCCAGGCCGCCGTGAGCGAAGATGTCGCCGAGGACCTTGAAAACGTTGCCCAAGTCCGAGCCTCCGGGGGGCTGCTTTACCAAACGGGGGTTCAGGTACCACAGCAGCGGGGGGAGCATCAGGTAGAGGATCGTAGGGATCAGGTAAGCCGCCCAGTAGCCGACGATCTTAGCCAAGTACGTCGTCGGGATGCCGAAACACGCGCCAATGTTGATGAGCAGGTAGAACCACAGCATGACGCTGTTGATGGACTCCTCGGGATCAACGATGACCCTCTCGCCATTCGTGTCAGTGACAACGTGAGCGAACTTGTGGGGGCTCTGGTCGATGACGGTGGGCGAGATATTGGGCTTAAACTGAGCCGCGCCGATGGAGAGCATATCTGCCATGTGTTAGCACATCGTGTAAGATCGCAAGGCTTGACCTTCGACGAGGTAGCAGGCAACAAAACCACCCCAAGAGCAGGCATGAATGATGACATACTAAGTCCAAATTAGTCGCCAGTTCAAAAAAATAACGAAAGCACTCTGAAAGCTTACCACAGAGACAGGGCGAAAGGGCCCATGGCTTTTCCGGATTGAAGGACAGGAGGAAGCGCCGAGATGATCATGATGATGTGGGCGACACCGCAAACAGCGACACCCCAGCAGATCATCTTGAATCGGCCGTACTTGGTGTCGGCAAGCCAACCGAAGTAGATGGGCAGCGCGTACGCGAGGAACTTGAAGGCTTCGGTCATAGCGGTAGCCACAACGGAACCCTGACCAAGAGCACCGGCGGTGTACTCGGACCCTGGAGCGCTGGCACCGGCGCCGTTGCCATCGGGCGGCAGCGGGGCGCGGATGAAGTTCTTGTAGACCTGGTTGCATCCGTAGTAGGAGGCACGCTCGGCGAACTCTACGGCGCAGAGGTAGTAGCAGGTCGAAGGCATCTTCCCGGCGATGCGCCTCAGCGTCGACTTCTCCTCCTCGGTGGGGAGGACGAGGCCGTGCAGGGTCTCGCGGCCATCTTCGTCGACGGCTCGGTCTGACACGGCGCCATCTGCCTTGGTATTCTCAAGGCCCGCTTTCTCGTCTACGGAAGCCCGCACCGCGCCGACGGGAGCAGCGACGGTGCCGATGGTAGTGCCGGTGTCTGTGGAGGACGAGACAATGTCAGCACCGCGTTCACGTATCACGCATAGAGGTAGGCAGGCAGGTGGCTTCGTCGGGACTCCCCGAACGCGCAAAGAAAGGCGTTATAAGCAAGACCTACCCATGGCGAGCTTCTGCTTTGCACAATAGAGCAGCAGAGACTTCGAAGCGGAAGAGCGAATCGAACTATCGCTGGGGCGCGCCCGAGATAAGGGGGAGAGGGCGAGGGCTGGCAGGGACGAAGGGATCGGCGACCTGCAGAAGATGTAACTCTGTGCATCTCGAGATATATATGTCGTAGTTGTTGGGTTGTATGACCCTGCCATGACGGGCCAAGCCCGCAAGAGCACGACAACCCCCCCCCCCCCCCCCTTGCCCCCGGCGATCAAGACTTCTCGAGCAGTTCAGCTTATCAGAGGCACAGCTCCTTCGTTTGGCCATTCCAACTTCCTACTCTGTAGTAGACGAGGTTATCCGCAACCGAAGACCAGTGGGAGGCCGACCCAACTTCCTGGCTACTTCCCCGTTTTGGGTATGATCACACGACGTTCGGGCCTCTCGACGTCTAGGGAAATCAGCCAAGAGGACTTATCATGGATAAGTTCCAATGCAGATGCCTCGTCCGGGCTACCCCAGACCTACCCCAATCGCAATCCTCGACGCCCGCCAATCAGGCAGCCGTATGGCTGGCGGCGGCGTACCGGGGACCCTCGATAATGAACTGTCGACTTATGGGCGTGTGTATCCGCAGGATCAGCATCGTAGCATCGCGAGATGGGGGGGGGGGGGTCTGGTCTGGAAGATATCGGGCGCTCCATATTAGTAGACGGCCTCGCCTCGACCGTATCGGGTCATCCAACGGCCAACACGGGCGATTCTATACGCTGGCGTGATAGGCAGGGGTGGCTGGGTGGTGCGGTCCGCATTAGGTAGGTCGTTGATGATAACCAGAGGCCGACGCCCTCGCTCCACTAATTAGATGAGAGGCATTATGGATGCGACGTAGCAACGAGGGCGGACAATGATAACATCTTCCCTGCCTATTGCGCTCGCGGGCGTCCTCAACTGCTTTCTAGAAGCACGTCTTCCCCTGTCCGCATGGCGCTAAAGGCCGTGGAACTGGGAATAGCGCTGCGCCGGAGGCATGGAGACGGCTCGATTCCTGCTCCCTCGTTGGGCTCTCCTCCTCGAATCTATCTAACGCGTGACGTCGAACGTAAGGATCGTGCGCACTAGCAACCTGCAGAACGTTGCAGTCGCCTCACCAGACGACAGATATGGCGGGTTTTTCTGGTCCGGACGCCATCCATCCCGACGCGGCCTTGCGCCGGCGACGAGCGAACGGTTGGAATTTCGCCTGGTCGCGGCCCCCGGCCGTCCACGGAATCGGTAGTTTCCACGAAATTTCTTCGCTCTCGTATGCCTAGAAAGCTTATGAAGCTTGTCGTAAAGCCAAGTGGCTGGGTGGCTGGCCGTCCTGTGCAGGTTCTGCGGGAGCCGGGCACGGTAAGGCCATTGGTTGGCGAGGTCTTACTAGTCGACAAGTATCCTCGGAGGGACTCCGGGTGGCTGCATCTTGGCTATGCTAGTCTAGATCGCGGAAACCCCCAGGATTCGCAGCCACCTGGTGGCATCGTGGCACGACCTTGGGAGCTTGGCTGAAGTTGATGATAAGGCTTAGGTTCCATCAGTGTTGTACGAGCAATTAGAGCACGGCGACTTGCAGGAATACCTCGAGGGTTTCGGCAGAAACTAGCTCTTTAACCAGCTCTTTGCAAAAAAGAGCCTTCACTACCCGAAATGGGGTTATAAGTAGGGCAGATGTGATCCTCGTGGGAGTTATGGGATTCACTAGCTGAGCGTCGGTGTGTAGTAAGGGTAATAATACCTGACCTGCATCTGCGCCCACACCCACCTACCATACGCTCAGCCCTGATGGTGCCCATGGCACTTCCGGCAGCAGCATACCCCGCCAGGTCAAGGGACAATGACTTGAAACTACCTACCTTGTTCACGCATATAGCCGGCGCCAGGACGGCCTGCCAGTCCCAAGCGATTTGTCGGGCACGCATCCGGATAATTTGTGGCTTATGTATGTATCACAAATCATGGACATGCCGAACCTCGCCGCGCATGTGCTCAATCTAAGTAGCCAATAATCCGGCGACGCCTTGTGTGAAAGTTGAGGGATATTTGGCCGTAGTTGGCGGAATGTGCGTCGACTCTATGTGGACGCGATGGTCTCAGCCCGACCTTCGCATCACAACCAACAGCCAACCGAGAGACAAGCACCCATCCATCCAGCCAGCCAGCCAGCCAGCCAGGCAATGCTCGTAAGGGGCGAGGCCAGCTTTAGTAGATATCAAAGGGATCTGATTCGCCCGCATTCATTTGATCGCTCTCCTCGAAGGATCGTCGGGCCGCCAAGACTCCCCTGCTCGCACCCTCGCTCTGCCCGCCTGCTTGTCTCTGGTTGCTTGTGCCGCTCGAGAAGCCCCACGCACATATCAGGGAAGAGGCGTGTCTTATTCTTGTTGAACCGACGCATCATTGGGTCGCTTAAGACAGCGGAAGCTCTTTGTTGTCGAAATGGGGGAAGAGAGTGGGAAGATGCGAAGGAACTGGACATGTATTACACACGAGAGAGCCTCCAGCGATATGCGGTCCATAAGTCAAGTGCTACGCCTTCAGTCGGCCTAGTGGGCAGGTCGGTATATTGTATCACGCACTGGACATATCAATCATTCACCGCATCTTTCAGCATTGGTTCCACGCTGCTACTCTAGGTTTCACACCTCAAGTCTTACGCCCCCGCCCCTCCCCCCCCCCAAAAAAGGCGTCTGCTGAGAGAGTAGCTGAGGACGACGGGGAGCAGACGAGAGACAGCCGATACCTATATATCGCATGGAGAAGACAGGAGATACGCGATGTCGGCTCCGGTACCCGAGCATATGGGCCCTATTTATAATTGTTACCGTACCCAGAGTAGGGCCAGTTGCATTACGGTTGCTACGTCTGGTCTAATGCAGCAAGGCCCCCGAGTCGAGGTGACCTCTCTGCGTGTACGTGCTACGTCTGACTTGAGCCACGGGCACAATCCCGCGAACCTGGGATGAGGGATGCCCCTAATGCAAGCGAGGTGGGCAACTACCATCCGGCCATAGAATTCCCGAGGCCACCCGCCGGGCATACGAAGGATACTACTGAAAGAGTCGTTTACAGAGCGAACTATAGTACTCTCGCTAAGATCAGATGCCCAAATAGTAACGGTAGGGGTGGTCGTATGGGTTTGTATGGCATCCTGCGATAAGATTACCGTGGTAATAACGCGTCTGGTTACTATCTCCGAGATTCCCAATGGTACGGGGGATTCGTTTGGGGTATTATGGTAAGTGGATAAGGATTACACTGAGCACGGTACGAAGGGACGTGTCTATTAATCCTTGTAGGAAGACGACCAGGCCAATCTCTTGTCCTCCTGTCCCTATTTAAGGGCTACCATTGGCATTTATTTATTAGCTTAGCTCTGTCGCCTTTGACGGAGAGCTATAAAACTAAGTTTCGAGAGCAGTGAAGAGAGGAACGGAAATATTCCACAGCCCGGTATATCTATATTTGTATATATCTCCATAGTTTCATCCCTCCGCCCAGCTTGCCTTCTCACGGAGTCACGACTAGGAACGAGTTACTAAGCGATAATACGAGCCAAGAACTATGCGGCTGCTTCGATCCCACGAAAAGGGTATTGTCACTTAGCTTAAGCCTCACAAGGCGTTTCTATAAGGTTTTCGGGGTTGTTCAGTGTAACGAGGGCTCTTGTTTCTAACTCTCACTTTCCGGCGATGAGATCAGCTATAGTCTTGGTGTAATTCTGGTGTGACATTCAGGCGGATTTTACAGCAGACCGTGGATTAAGAAACGGTGGAACTGATGTCAATCATGTTAAACTATGGTTGGTTCCTTCAACCTCCATCTTTTTCCAGCATCAGCAGATCTCTGCATCGGGTCATGACAACCCGGGGAGAACTCTGCAGCCAGGGGGGTGAGTAAGGCAGTGGTGGGAATGGGTTGAGTTGTCGCTGGATAGATACCATTCACAAGTCAGGTTCATCATATCCGTGTCAGTGACATTACGTTCTCTAAGGCGGACTGCCTTGCCTGTGTGTAAGATGTTAACTTTACGACGTACTCCCGACCGCGTGGCTCTCGTTTCGGAATCCTAGGTTAGTAGCGCCTGTAATCTGAAATCATATATCGATAAACGCTGCGTTGTTGCGTTTTGGGTCTCATGAAGACTTGTTTTTCATCGCTTGTCACTTCGGTGTACAGACAAGAATGAGAAAGTCTCACGGTGCTGTTGTTGAGTTTTCTGCGTACCGTAACCGAGATTTCCAACACAGCCAGGGGTGATGTTCATATAATATCAATGGTCGTTCAGCAAAGCTAGACACCACGGGTTACGTGGGTAGCCTGTCCACTAGGGTCTCTACTCACGATAGATAGAGTAACTATTACGCAAAAGGAGTCCATACTAACCCTAATGCTAAGAAGCCACGAGTCTCGCAGGTTTAGGCTTCGCCTAGCGTTCTGGCCTTGATAGTTGTTGCGCAACGGATCTTTGTGCCCCGTAGTATTCTCTGCAATTATAAAGCAAAGTGAAAGAAACCTCGAGGTAATGTTCCTTAACACACGGCCGTAGGCTGCTCGCTCCGTTCCTCGGTAGGAGGCTTCCCCCCAATCAAGCCATTGCCGCCTAGAGTAATGATATGGAGAGGAGAGAGAGACAGTGATGCGTTGAAGGAGACTGGGTGGCTTACGGGCATCATGGTATATTGGCTCTATGCTTAAGCCTCGAATCTTAATAAATAGGAAACATGCTTTACAATGCTATTTAGTACTTATTTGTGGTCCCCTCTCCTGTATACCGGGCAGCGAACTCCTCCACTATGCTACTTGGCTTCAGTGATAGAGTTCATAACAATAATATCGATTAAGCCAATAGGCTCGCCGTGATGCTTCGCACGCGTGCAACTGCCAAAAGCTGTATGGTCAACATGAGGGGCTGGAATATGGTGGTATCTAGTGTATCTGTCTTGACTCTTGTCCCGATTTCGATAGACAACGTCTTCTACGGCTACATCAAGACACAATCAATAGTAGGGTCAATTTGGGGGGCACGAAGACGATACCTCAAATAGAGCCACGAAATGTCACAGGTAAAGGTCGCAGGACACTCTTATGCCCGTGTTGGAATCTGTTTGGGCATGTCGGTTTGCCCATGGATAGGCCTGGCAGAGCGAGATTGTAATCACCGGAAGAAGTCGATGACCGGCTTTTCTGATACTCAGCTGCAAGGCAGACAGACTGCTTCGTCTTTTCTAGTCGCCGAGAGGCCTCGGCATGACGCATAGTCAGCCATCCATCCCTGCATCCCCCTGCGATAACTCAACTTGAGGTCGACAAGACAAGCTAAGCCGAGGACGCAGTTGTAGCCAATATCCCCTCACATATTCGAGACATGTATGCAAATGGTGGTTGGACGGGGAAGCCTGAATCGATATACTCGTAGGTGGCATATCTTTTGTGGTCTGTCTCCCGCATAGAGGCATTTTTGAATATGCACGAGGAGATGAGGAGCTTATAGGCGTTGAGGAGAGCTGAACAAGCTGAAGAAGGTCATGCCAGCCAAGCCGAGCCCCTATTGGCGCGCAGCGTTCTGGAGAACCCTTGTATATCGACGGAGTGGTGTAGTCACACCACGATTCTCTGTTGGAGAAGGGAGACTAATGCGAGCACTGATTCGGCCGGTGCGATGGCTTGCAAAATCTGCCCTTTCGGTTCATTTAGAGCTTCAAATAGTCGGAGCGCCTCTTCCCGTCTAGCCCGATTTTTGGAGTACCAATTTCCGGGATCTCGGCGACACCAACCGGGCGCGTGGAATCGTGTTGCTCGGAAAATAATCTGAGGAAAAGTCGTGTTAGTTGCTGGAAACAGATCGACGCACACCCGCCCTGCGTCAATCGAAGCTCCGAGGCTGTAAAATCTTCCGTCGGCATGAATCGGAGGCCCGAGACGACGGATGTGCCGACTAACAGGGAGCTCTGGGCACTCTGCGCTTCTCTTCGCTATGCGATAGCGACGAGGTCGGATCGGTGGCAGCGGCTCACGTGAGATGAGGGCGCGTGAAGAGGTCGGTCTCCTGTTGGATGTCTGTGTTTCTTTTTTTTTCCGGGGGTGTGCCTGACGATCATCGTCCTACGTCTTGCTCACAGATATTATCCTTCGCCTATTGATACGCATGTTCCACCGCGGCGAAGGTGCGCGTTGTGGAACGTTCGGTGTTGCCAGACAGTGGAAGTGGTCTCGTGAGGGACCTGCGATTCTCTTAATTGGACAGGCTCTCTTCGTATTGGGACGCGAGACAATCCAGAATGTTCGACCCGGAGAGCGAGGTGATCCAGAGATGTCCGTCGCCATCGCCGTCGCCTTTCAGCCTCATCATGCTTCGTTCCCCGTCCGAGGCGTTCCGGACCGCGTATGCGCGATGAACTCGGAAAAGGCGGGTGCATATGTACACACATACACACACATATACATAGGCGGATGCATGACCGCTATTCTGGACCTGCAATTTCAACATACGAGTCTCGATGGAGGGACGGTGGCACGCTAGCCTCGTAAAAGAGGAGATGGTTTGACGACAAAACCACAGAGTCGGATCGGGGGAGGGCTTGAGCGCCATCTCAATTCCGCCAACCTACGACGTAACATCCACCAACAAGACTTTTCACCAAGAATACATGGCAGAGATAAGAAGGCCCACCGGCGAGCCGGATGGGGTCGAGGGAGAATGGAGAGAAAACTGGAGGAAAACCGGAGAGACGAGGCGGCCAGACGTCGAAGCGGTGGGAGTAAGTAAGGAGACGAGAGTGATGACGCGAGACTCTTGAGGGGAATACTAGGGGTAGGCGATCTGTATAATTGTAATGCACAATCCCTGTGTATAAGGTATAAGGCGTACTACATAACATATAGTATATATTGTACATACACGTCGCTGTAATGGATGAATGGATCAATGGATCACCTAATGAATCGATGGATGGATCGATGGATGTACCGAATGTATCCGGGTGTGCATATGCAGGTATCGCTACCGGTCTGGCCGCCAGGTATGTATATATGTACCTGCCCAATCGACGTACGTAGTGGAGAGCGGTGAGGCGAGAGTGGACCTGTGTGTTGTCCGGGGCGGGCAATAGAAGGAGCAAAAGCAGAGAAGCCCGGATAGCTCCCATTTGCCCACGCCCACGAGGCCGTGGCCTGGAATCCGTTCTACTTAATAATGCCATACGTGTAGAATACTACTACGTTAGCATGTAGGTAATATGTGATGTATAAATAAATGCTATATGCATACGAGTACGGGTCAAGGGCGAGTCAACTTCGCCCACCAAACCGCGGGGTTGGAGTGGTTTCCTGTCTGCCTACGTAGAACATGACCCTTGACAACTGGGAGTCCTGTGCGTCGGTTCTGAATCGAGTCCGTTAGGTCACTAAGGTATCATTCAGTCTCGCCTGCTCTCCATACTACAGACCTAGGTCGGCATTAGTTACTTCGGGTACCTAGTTAACTAAATTACCTCTACTCTAGAGTGAGGCCCCCTTTTACCTGCCTCTACCTACCTAGGTAGTATAGTAGCTACCTATAGCTACCTCTCCTAGGCACGTAAGTAGGTACCTAGGGGATATAGAAAGGAGGTATCTACCTAATGTAGTGGACCTATACGACAGTAATGGGCCGATAAGTCAATAGGATATTGAGCTGTACATACACGGGGGAGACAGTATGTGACGGCCGAGTCGGAAGCGGGATCGGGTACATCTACCGTTGGAAGTCGGGTCGGCAAATGAGAATGGTGAACTGTCTACCTCTTAGGTAGGCTTCTACTCATAGCTCTTCTCCTTCAAGGTGAGGGACGACGAGTTGACAGAAGCCCAGCGGGCATCTTGTCTATCGCTAAGGGATATCTACCTACCTTAGGTACCTACTATACTAAATATTTTATAGCCATGCCGATGTGCCAAGAAGATACCTAGGTACATACAGGTACTTGCCTCTGATCCTTACCATACTAGAGGTCTAGGTGGGTGGTTTAGGGAAGACTCGAGGTGAAAGGTGCTAATATACTCATACTGTTGCAGGTACAATGCCTAGAAGAATGGCATGCACCTACCTAGGTATCTATCTCCTATTCTCTCAGATGCCTCTCACCGTGCAAATCCGGCCTAAACTTGGCTTATTACGTAGCATGCACCAAAGTACACAATAATAGCTGGGCAGGTATAGGGGTGGTGCATAGGGTACTTTACACGGGATACCTCATACACGTAAGGTAGTGTGTACATAATTTAGTATCTACCTAAAGTACACTGGGTCCTTGGCCTGCTGAGAGGTACCTCCTATCCACCCAAGGCAGCTAGGTACCTACACCTAGGCATGTACGGTATAGGATAATAGGAGGAGGTACGGTGTGGGCAAGCGGGCGCCGAGGCAAGGAGGTGTGGCGCGCTAAGGAATGGATGCGGTTAGCCCACTCCACTGCGTACCTAGGTACGTAACGTCGATCGGGTTCGGCTGGAGCTGACTGTTGCCCTGCTCAAGGCCAGAACTGGCAAAGTGAGAGAGGCGACGCGCTGGACGAGCCAGACAAGCCTGAGAATACTCATCCCCCTCCCCCCCCCCCCCCTACCAAGCCCGCCCTGCCGACAGCAATCGAACCTCGACGCCTTTTTCTTTTATTATTCGAGGACCTCTCCTAACCTCAGGCTCGCCGCTTAGCTCACCGCTGAGACGCCCGGCCGCGGTTCGGCAACACACTAACCCCCCCAACGCTGATCTTGGCTGATGCCGCAGTCTCCTCCGCCCAGCATCTCGGTTCCTGGTTCTCAGTTCTGGCTTCTCGTCTGCCTCTGTCCCCCTGGGGGGATTCCTCCTCCGACTTGCGTGTGTGCATTTGTGCCTGCGTTTACATGGACATACCTACCTCCTACATGCATACCTCTCTCGACGTCCTCGGCTAGGAAAAACCAAACGGTCTGTCGGATTCCTGCGGCCTCAGCCATGCTATGTATGTGTATACACATACATATTCGTAGGCGCCTTCCGGCCGATCGACCCCCGTCCAGCCCATTTCACTTGAATCGAGACCCGCTAGTAACGGATGCGAAGGCGCACTGGGTGGCCTGACCGGAGACAGATACAATTGAAGGGTTGGCAGGAGGGGGGAATCTCCGTTGGCTTCTTCTGCGTAGCGTGTATGTGTGTAGGTACGTGTATATGTAGGTATGCATGTAGGTATGTAGGTGGTGAGCGTACGTGTGGCGTGTATGTTCAGCATGTATGAGTCGGGCTTTGGTGTTGCCTTCTGAGAGTGGTTGATCTCGCCATCTGTCTCTCTCTGCCTCTCTGTTTGGGTGTAGTTCGCGACAGCCGAACATTACACATCGGTATCGTCCGGCCGCAGTTCCCGGAACAGAATACCTGGCCAGCATCAGGACCGACAAAGCTACGAACGAGCGAACGCTCGAAAGCGAACCCGCGATACCAGAGCGGCGATAAGCGCCAAGGTCACCATCGGGTGTACAAGCAACGCTTGCGTGATCTGGGAAAAAAAGCTGGGCTTCTGCCAACCTGGTCTACACACAGGCATTGCAAACCTGCTCCGCTCCCTTCTTCGCCCACTACGTATGACGATGGCCTCCCAGCTCCCCAGCCTGTGGGTTCATCTTCACCGAGTTTAGCTTGGGCGGCCCGCGATGAGATTCCGTCGCATTTTCCTCTTCTTCTCTCCCCCCTCGGCAACTCAGCCTTGCTAGCCATTACTGACCTGGAACATCTCTTGCCGTCCCTTTTCAGGGCGTCAGTCCAATTGGACGATATTACGTCCAACCATTGGATGGCATGCATGAGCTACCTGTTTACCTACTCGTTAGGGGGGGGGGCACCTAACCTCGTCCGGTACATACGAGGACAGGACCAGGTCTCCTGCAAGTGGCTCGGCTTTCCTTCTGACCCGTGCTTCGTTTGCATAATAAGTCCCATCCCCCTCGCCTCATCGACCCAGTTTCTTTGCACCTCGATTTGTTCCTTATAAGTCTGCTTATACTATTGCTATTATTATTGACTTGCTCTCCCGAGGAATTGATTGCCCTTCTTCCTTCAATCCTTCCCCGAATACCCGAGCCGCTTTATAAACCAAAGCTATCATCTGCTCCGTCCGTCAGCGTGTATAAGACATCCCCCCTTTTTAGCGCCCCGACTTGATTGAGCATCCTGACGGCACTGGCTGGATTTATTTATAAGTACATAGCCCGGTTGCGAGACCGACAGACAGCTCTGGCACTAGACAGGCAGTATATTCAGTCCGCTTCGGTCCGCATGCTCGTGCCGAACTCGAATATGAGCAGCTCTCCCTGCTAGGTCGCACGTTTTATTTGTTCGGTACTTCCATGGTAGCGGTAGCAATCAACGGTTAGGACACGAGGTGCAAGATGGGCCACTCCAGGTGCTTCTCTACCTACGACGATGACTTTGAATTCGACGACGCGTACTTCAGACAATTCTACAAGCCGCTGTCAAACTTGCCCACGCCGCCGCCCTCTTCGAGGAACTCGTCTGCTATTCAGAGCCCCCGAATCGTCGCCGAGGACCTCGATAGCACCAATGGCGAATATCTAGGTAAGACGTCCTATTCCTATCCACCCAGCTACGCGATGTCTGACAGGAATGCCTTCTTTTCAAGGCCCCGCTGCCCATCTCGCGAGGATGCTACCGCCGGGAGCTTCGTTTGTGACGCCGTCCATCCCGATGGTACAGGGCATCCTGTCACGTGCCAACTTGCCGATGGATATCATTGCCTTGGCCGTCTGCATTCTGGACTCGCTGAACGCACGATTTTCTCGAAGTTGGCGAATATCGTTCCCGTTGGCTAAGTCGAGTGAGCTGCTCACTAAACGCCACACGTTGCCTTCCGGCGCGGCTCAAGCTGTGCACATCGATAATGTGCCCCCCGAGATCATCATTCTCGCCTCCCTAATCGTCGCCGACAAGTTTGTGGAAGACTTGCAAGAGTCAACCCAATACTACTGCTCGTCGTGGGGTCAAAACCTTTGGACCTGCGAGCAGGTCAATTTCACCGAGAGGCTCATCATGGAGAGCCTAGGCTACCGCATCCTACCCTTGTGGGAAGCGAAGTCTATCAAGCAAGCGAGGCACGATATCGAGATGGCGCGGCGGGAATTGCTGGACTCGGGCGTCGAGATGGCGGACGAGAACAAGTTGGGCAAGCATTCCAAAGCCATGAGCACAGGGCATGCTGTGATGGGTTTCGCCCGGCAACTGACCCCGTCCGAGGCCCCCAAGTCGGAGTTGGCACAGATTCAGGGTCGAGGCCACGAGGCTCGTGAAGCGTTCAGCACCTGCGTGGCCTCATCACGGGACTATTTTTCGACTACAGTTTCGCCGTAGCTCGGATATCGATGCCGGATAAGGAGGAGTCGACGCACTTGGAAAATACCCTCTTGATTCGTCTGCATGCTATATTGGCTGCAAGGGCTTGGCTAGACCGCACCGGGACCGCGGGTTATGGTTTCATTCGCCTCATCACATCATGTTTCTCGACAGGCTTCAGTATTTTCCCTCGACTTGGCCCGACTCGCCCGGGCCAGGTGGGATTGGCGACAGGAGTTCAGGGCGGCCCAGATCCTGGGATGGAGTATTGGTCTGGCATTCGCTTGGAGAAGTCCCAAATTGGGGGACACGCGTCCTACGGAATTATACCCACTACTAGTAATACCTTAGAGTTTTTCAATCGCCATTGCGTCGAAGATGGCTTTCGAAGATTGGCCCGAATACCACCCCCTCCTGCCGATCCATTTCGAGTGTGGCGAGAATACTCCTGCTTATATCTCTCAACAGTGTCCGTACCTTGTGTCTGTTGTACCCTGATCTGGCTGAAATGGCTGCTGGTATGGCGAAAATCGGGGGCGGTCTTGCATCTCTAGTCCTGCTTGACACATCTACCCCAGACTTCTGTCTATTTATACGTGGGATGAGGCCAGGCAGTTTGGGGGCCAATCAAATCGGCACCAGCGCGGGGAGAAAACAACGAACAGGGATGGGCTGCACCTTAGCCAGAGGCATCGATCCGTGGTGTATTTCACCCAGCCCAATGAACGGACGATTGGGTGAAGCCGCAGTCGGTGGTAGGCCAACTACCCACATACGACACCTGTCGGCATATGCGCACTAGCTACGCAAACGAACTGATGCCTGGGCTATAGGTGGGACAGGCCTCAAGCCGCACATCCTGAACATGCGCCAGCCATACCACGCGGCATCACGCAAGCCTGCTCGATCGACGACGCGATCCTCAGCAGTGTCTTAATGGTGTTGAGGAACAGTGAGCGAGGACATCGAGTTGGGAAGTAAATTAGCTCAACGTCTGCTACGGCAGATCATGTGAGAAAGAGCCGCCTGGTGATGCTGGAGAGGCGAGGCTGGCTGGCTTTGTACTGCTTTTCCATTTTGGAGCACGGCTGAAGGGCGGCCACTATACCGGGCTTTCCGTGCCAAGACAAGGCAAATTCTCCGCAAGCTTGACAAGACATCAAGCTTCCCATGCCCTCTCTTATACATATCCTTCGTCTTGGTTGCTCGGCAAGTTCTTGGTGATATGTTGTTAAGGAGATGCCCATGACCATCCCTGTAGTTGGCAGGGGGGATTGAGATTCTCCCTGCTACACTCTCTCTTGAGACAAATAGGTTGACAGCAAGGCCATGGAGAAGGACTACGTCGCGGCTGATGTCGATTGCCATCGAACCACGGCTTGCTATGTCGCATGAATCGCATGCATTGGTCGCCCTGAACCACCCAGGTCTCAGAGTGACTAAATATTGAAGACGTGGGGGAATGGTCTCACGAGCTGAGGATAAATTATGTAACAGAGTAATTGATAATCATGATGATATTGATTCACAGAATTGAAGCTCATTACTTCATAATCGCCGCCGTTTTCCAGTCCTTGCTTCAATTTCCCGCCGTTGGCCCCCAACCCCCCATGATCCCTTAGCTAGCCAACCCACTGTCCATTTGGCGCTCTGTATCTAGCATCGGAAAAGACAGTACCTAGGGAACTCTCGTGAGTAACGACTCGGCATGCGGATATATGTATGTGATCCGCGATGACGAGGGGAACATCTGGAATTGGGGTTCTAGCTTGTAAGCGAAACCTGGTCGGGTGTCTTATCGGACGTAGAGCGCTACGAGGTCCTTATCAGGCCGAAAGGGGCTTAGTGAGGGGTTAGAGTGCGGCAGAACTTTTTCGGAGATACACCGCCCTAGCTTCTCGCTTTACTATACTTCCAGGTTACTTGCCTCCTACCCGCAGTCTCGCCCGCTGCGTACTTATCCACCCCCTCGACTCGGCCACCTCCCGGATTTCCCTCACACCTTCGGTTCGGCTTGTATTCCAATCTCTCTTCCCCCCCCTCCGACCGCGGCGGAACGGAAACCGATAGCGAAAGCGAGAACGCGATGGCGAAGAAGCGCGCGAGGGAAGCCGACGGCACCGCCGTCGAGGCTCCGGACAAGATAGTCGAGGACGCGAACAGCTCGGACGAGGAAGATGAGGTGAGTGGACCTGCGGGACGGGCGCCGGGGCGCCGGGGCGCGAGCAGGCTGGGCTGACGAGACGACCGCTCGGTCGCGGGGAAGGCGCAGGACTTCGACACGGTCAACGTCGACTTCGAGTGGTTCAACTTCGACGCGGCCGTCGACTTCCACGGCACCAAGTCGCTGCTGCGCCAGCTCTTCGACGTCGACGCGGCGCGGCTTGACCTGTCGGGCCTCGCGGACCTGATCCTCGGGCAGCCCACCATCGGCTCCACCGTCAAGGTCGACGGCAAGGCCGCCGACGCCTACGCCTTCGTCACCGCGCTCAACCTGCGCGAGCACCGCGCACGCGAGCCCGTCGCCGCCCTGGCCCGCTACCTCGCCGAGCGCGCGCGTGCAAACGACGCGCTCGCGCCCGCCCTCGCCGACCTGCTAGCCCCCCCAGCCGCCGCCGCCGCCGAGCCCACCGTCGCGCTCGTCCTCTCGGAGCGCCTCATCAACATGCCCGCCGAGATCGCCCCGCCGATGTACCGGATGCTCATCGACGAGATCGAGGCCGCCGTCGAGGACGGCGAGCCCTACGCGTTCACGCACTACCTGATCGTGTCCAAGACCTATCACGAGATCGAGTCGACGCTTGACGTCGTCGCGGAGCGCAAGCGCAAGAAGGGCAGGCAGGACCCGGCCCTTTTCTACTTCCACCCCGAGGACGAGGTGCTGCAGAGGTACGCGGTCGCGCACGGGAGCTTCCCCTACGCCAACACCGACGAGGCCGTCGCCGACAGCAAGCGCGCCTTCCAGGAGATGGGCATCATATCTCGCGGCTCCATGATGCTGATCGAGGCTAGTAAGTTTGCCGAGGCCGTCAAGGCGATAAGCGACGAATTCTCGCCGCCGTCGTAAAGCACAATATAAAAGGTTAATGGGAAAAAAATACACGCAATGCGCCCCCGCCCGTGATACCTATTTTATATTTTCTCTTTGCCTATCTGAAAACGCCGACGCACATATCCGAATCCGACCCACCGGCACATCGTAGCGATTCCCTTACTTCAGGCGCTGCATTAGATACTCGACTTCGACCTCCTTGGTGATGGGGATGACGAAGTCCTTGTACATGGCGACTACGGCCTCGACGTTGATCTTGCCCGCATTCTCGGAAGGGTTCGTAGACGGGTCGGTGCCGTACGTGCGCGCCTTGAGGCCCAAGCGCTTTAGCACCTGCTGCTCGACCGCGGCGTTCGTGATGGACTCGCCGATGCCATCCCGGTCGCCGGCCTTGATCAGCCGGGTGTACGTCTCGGGGTCGGACTGGAACTTGGATTCGGCGACGAACATGCCAAAGTGTATCCGGCGCGACAGCGCCTGCAGGCAAGCGATATCGCATGTGGCCGAGGACCCATAGTTTTCCTCGCGCTCGCCGCGGTCTTCGCGGCCAAAGTCCGGGCACACGGCGGGAAGGAACTTCTCGATGTAGAACTTCTTGATCTTCTGGTTGACGTTGACGGTGTTGGGGTGCAGGATCTGGGGGTAGTTGAGGGGCTTCAGGAGAGGTTTCTGCAGGGCCTCCGGGAAGAAGGGGTACTCGTCGGGGGCCTCGTAGCGCCGGATGAGCGACTGCAGCTTCTCCTGCTCCTGCAGGTACCAGTCCATGAAGCTGAGCTCGCTCGACTGGCCGATCGGTATGGCGCCGGGGATGTAGATGGTCTTGTTGAGCGGGAACTGGACGCGCTCGATCAGGTGAAAGGTGATTGTGTCTTCCAAGCGACTAAGCGACAGGGCCGACAACAGTTAGCGAGTCTGCACCCGAAGGGTAGGGGGGCCTTGCACACACATGAGCTGGAAGCGGATGTTGGCCAAGTCGAGCGCCTTGGAGGTGTCCTTGAGGTCAATTATGGCGTCCATGATTGCGTATTCCGTTGCCGTACTAAGCAAGGTCGAGCAGGTGGTGTATAAGGTGGTATTTGCCGGGGCGCACACCGGAGTCCCGAACCAACTAAGCGATCGGGGTGGTTGCGATATGGCCAAGAATTCTAGACTTGGGTGCGGGCTGGGGAAATATATATAGGTCGCCCTAGCTGTTTAGGTGTGACGGACGGCTCGTGGGAGATAGATGAGGCCTAGCCTGTTTGCCCGCAGTTGGACTGGTCAGTCAAGCGAACAAGCGGATGAAGATAAGAGAGGGCAGAGGAGGAGAGGAGGGAGGGGAAATGCGGACATCTATACGGCGCGGGGGGAGTGGTGGGACAACGACGGTCTCGAAAGCCTGCATCTGCCAGTCCTTCTCTTTGTCCGAAGAACTTGCTGGTGGCTAGGGCCGATTCTCGGGCAGCACTACATTCGATCGGTTCCCTTGTGCGATCCCGACATCGAAGCAGAGAGCGAGGGAGGAACAGCAAGCATGATGTATATAGGAACGGGTGACGAGTTGTTGGCAGCACGGTCAGCTTACAGCAATCAATGCGACGGTCACCGAAGAAGTATGGTAGGTACCTCCTAGAGGCAGGTACCTAAGGTTTTTGATAGGTTAGGGTACCTCTAGGTGTGTATTACCCACTACCAACATTGCATACATGCCTGTAGGCACCTGTACCCGATGCCGTAAAGAGTGTGCGTAGCACGCGAGAGTACCTAAGGTCCGGTGGAGTGTACCTAAACATACCGTACTATAGATGATAGATAGGTACCTCCTCTAGGTAGATATTTAGGTACCTAGGGCACGTAGAGGTTAGGTACCGTTAGGTAACATATCCTCATACAGGTAGCTGTACGGCATGTAGCCAATAGTAGCAGTAGACGGTTGAAGCGGGTGGTTGGCGTAGACCAAGCAGAGCGTCGGGAAACATTTCCAAGAGAGAAAAGGAAAAAGCCTCAATGGACGGCGGGATGGTGGAGCGGAGGGGTAGATAAAATACCTACCCAGGTAAAATAAAAAAAAATAAAAAAAATAAAAACGAGGCCCACAGCACGCACGCAACATGCCAACCCCCTGCTAAGCCGATGGTATGGCCTGGTAGGCAAGTCCTTGTCCGATGTATCGAGTACGGGGCAGTTCGGATCCTCGAGGTGAGACGCGGGCAGGATGGGTATCTAAGTACAGGTACTGACTACCTTCTACCTACCTTAGCATGACAGTTGCGCACTTCCGTTCCCGTCGGCCGGGAGGGTTTAGCAGGGAGATGCGCTGGCTGCTGTGGTATAGGTGCGTACGTAGGCACATTAGGTATAATGTGCGAAAACTAAACGTGCCTCGGGCTTATACATGCCTAGATGGAGGTACCTAGGCAAAGGGGCAGATATACGGCACATATGCACGTACGCTGCATGCCGGGCATGTACCTACCTAGATGGGTTACTACCCACAGGAGGCGTGTACGGAAGAAGAAGAAGAAGAAGTGGAAGGGAGAAAAAAATGAGGCAAAAAATGATGACGAAGAAAAAGAACAGGAATGAGAAGACGGCAAAAAAAAAAGGAAGAAAGGGAAACCAGACGGAGAAGAGGAGGCAGAGAGGTTGGAGACAGCCAGTCAGAAGCTACCAGCGCAGTAGCCTTACCCCCGGCCTGGCCCTGCTCGCCTTACCTTACCTAACCTCTCCCACCTCCTCCACCACCAACTTATCTCTTTTTTTTTTTAAACCTATTTGCACCTACACCTAGCAACAGGCAAGTGGCACACGTACGTCTCTCCTCCTCCTCCTGCTTCTCCTCTCCTTCGTGCTGCAATTCTTCTGCCGGTTATTACACCCGCAATTCTATCGCCGCCTCTGTTGTGAACTCATTTGGTCCTACTCTTGCCCGTCGTCTGTTTGCCCTATCCACTTACCCGTATTGGGTGCCGCTCCTCATGCCCACCTCCCCTCCTCGGGTATCCCAGGCAGCTTCGTGAGAGAGGGCGATCCGTTTTCGCGAGAGCTCCTCTTTGGATACATCCCATTCATGTGCGGGTCCCTCCTCGTGCACCCGCCACAATTCCTGAACCTCCCGTGGTGTACAAGTAGATAGGCGCATGGACGATCTAGACTCCAGAGATGCCGTGCTTGACGAAGCCCCCGTGGCTGACGATTCTTCCTCCTTCCTCTCGGTACATACGGTCCGCTCTTTTGTCGTCCGTGTTCTCTGTGTTGTGTGGGGACGCTTGTTTTATCTAACCTCTGCGTGCCCACAGTCCCGCGGCCTCGAAGCCTTTACTAGAAAAGTCACCACCACGGCCAGCCACCTAGTAGGACCCAACGGCATCGACCCGGCCGGGAACCACTACCACAATGCCATGGCCCAAGTACACAAGCATCTGAAGAGACCAGCTATCCAGCAGGGCATGTTCACCATGGCTCGCACCACGCCTACCGACTTGGTCCGCTCCAAGTTCTCGACCACCGAAATCCGGTCCCGAGCCCTGTCGTACGTACCGGACGAGATGCTCAAGAACATACCCGAGAACGATAACGCATATTCCCTCTTCCAAGGCTTCAAAGCCACCTACCCCGAGCTGGAAAACGGCGTCTCGAGACATCGGCGGGTGTCTAGAGGGCGGAAAATGCTCGACGAGATCCCGTCGAGTTCCGACAGCCCCCATCATCTCCACAAGCTTAAAAAAGAGCGATCCTCGCTCATGCACGAGCTGGAAATGCTCGGCATCCGAAAAAACCTGGCCAGCAGCGAGATCCGCGAGATCGATAACAAAATTGCTAACCTGAGCGGCATGAGACGCATCATACTGGATAGGCTGGCGGGCTTGGAGCAGGAAGAAGCCCTATTAGAACACGATAGTAAGGAGATCCACCCCGATCTCGCCTGCGATTGGCAACAACTTGACTGACGTGGGGCTGCAGTTGTGGAGATGGAGGGCCGGATAGATGATGCCCAAGACCTCGTCGACGAGGCCGAATCGATAGCTGCTGCCCTCGATACCCCTTTGAAATCGGACGACGACGACGACTTGGTGACGGATCGCGATGCCGACGAATTCATGTCCAAATCCGTGTATGAGAAGCTCCCTTCGGCGTCGGGCGCGCATTCGAAGCGGGGAAGACACAAGACCACCAAGCATCGAAAATCGATGCCGGTGTTGCACGAGCATTTCGAACCGGGCTACATGATACGGGAGATCAAGACTCACACCGACATGATCACGGCCGTAGACTTCGACGTGCCTTTCGGCACCATGGTGTCCGCCTCCTTGGACGACACGGTCAAGGTATGGGACCTGAATGCGGGGCGTTGCATCGGTCTGCTCGAGGGTCACACGGCCTCGGTCCGCGCCTTGCAAGTGGAAGATAATATCCTCGCTACCGGCTCTATGGATGCGACCGTCCGGCTATGGGACCTGAGCAAGGCCCATTACGACCCGCAAGGTAGTCAATTCGGAAGAAGCGACGAGGAGGACGACGGCATGGCCTTCGAGAACCCCAACGACCAACCCGTAGACCCCCCCGAGGATAGCATGGCGGACTGTCCGATTTTTACGCTGGAATCCCACATGGGCGAGATAACGGCTCTGCACTTCCGCGGCGACGTTCTCGTCTCGGGCTCAGCCGACAAGACGCTCCGGCAGTGGGATCTCGTGAAAGGACGGTGCGTTCAGACGTTGGACGTGATGTGGGCGGCGGCGCAGGCCTCCGTCTCCATCGGCACCGGCGAGGGGACGTGGCGGCAAACGAACCGGCCGACGGCGGCCACGGCCGATTTCGTGGGCTCGTTGCAAGTTTTCGAGTCCGCGCTCGCCTGCGGCACCGCTGACGGCATGGTAAGACTTTGGGATCTGCGGAGTGGCCAGGTCCACCGCAGCCTGGTTGGGCACACCGGACCGGTTACGTGCCTGCAGTTCGACGATGTCCATCTCGTGACGGGAAGCTTAGATCGGAGTATTAGGGTAAGTTGAGCATTGTAACTGCTGGGAGAAGCTCGCGAGTGTTGACCGCACGCTAACACATCATCCTCTTACAGATATGGGACCTGCGCACGGGATCTATATTTGACGCCTTCGCCTATGACCACCCCGTTACGAGTATGATGTTCGACAACCGGCGTATCGTCAGCGCGGCGGGCGAGGACGTGGTCAAGGTGTACGACAAGACGGAGTCGAGACAGTGGGATTGCGGCGCGGGTGTCGGGGGGGAGGACAGGGATAGGGCGCCGGCCATCGTCGAGCACGTCCGCATCAAGGACGGCTACCTGGTCGAGGGGAGGCGCGACGGCATCGTCGGCGCCTGGGCGTGCTAGACGATGATGATGATGACGATGATGACGATGAGTCCTTTTCTGCCGCCGCCGCCGCTGTCGGTCACCATTCCTACCTAACCTCATTCGCTATCCTCGCTCGCATGTACCTAGGCGCGAACTCTATATGTACATATGTATACCATTGGGAAGATAACGGACGCGCCCTCAACCCCCTCCCCCCCTGCGCGCGTCGAGGGAGCGGAGGAGCGGCGGCGACGACGACGACGACGACGACGCTTGTTGCTTGCCTGCTTGGTTGGTTGTTGCTGCCGCGTGAGTCTCGCGACCTCGATCGAGCAGTGATAGAATCTTGTGTAGCATCCTAGAACTTGCGAATAGAGCCGAGTTATTCTTATTTATTCTTCGAAATCGCGTGCCCGGTCGATTCCTCTTCTCTCTTGTCTCCCCACCTCACCACATCTCTCTCTGCCTCTCTCACACCCTATGCCCCGTACCATGTGCCCATGTGCCCATGTGCCCCTCTCCCACCTTATCGATATTTTTCCCTTTCCTTCCCTTCCCTTCCCTTCCCTCCCCCTCCCGCCCCGCGCTCTCCCAAGACCTGCCTTCGGCGGCCCCGTATAGCTCCCAACAGCAAACCCTGCATGCCCTGATTGGCCGGCTACCTCGCCTGCTGCGTTATCGGCCTAGCGGTGGCGGGGCTGCCGCTGTTTTATGTAAGGATGGGTGTGTGGGGAGGAGGAGGGGGGGGGGACATGCACACGCGCGGATAAGTACGTGAGCTCAGCCTGCAGTGCTTCCTTCGGCGATAGGGCTCATTTTTTCGGTTCTCTTACGAGGTGTGCGTGTATATGTCAAGTATATATATATGTGTGTGTGTGTGTGTGTGAGATGTCGTTCGCTGTAGGGTAGATAACACCAGTACTTGAGAGAGATACCTCCTCCAGGCCTCCTCGAAATGATACCGCAGACTACTACCTGCCTCCTCTATCTCCTAGCCGATGGGTGTAGCATGCTCTCTTTCGGGCGTGTGCAGAAGAGAGCGAGTCTATCAGCTGGAGAAGCGAGAGTCGCTTCCCCCCTCGGCGTGTTAACGTCAGCATGAGCATCAGCACCCTAAATAGACTGCCGCCGATCCCGCCGCCATTACCTAGGTAGGTACCGCAATTCACGTGCAGACAGAGACACAGATAGAGACGACATAAATTCTAGGACTCTAGTCTATCGAGTGTTTGACTTCAATTTGCGTACAAGAAACGCCATTGTATCGCGGGCGAGTACGCTTAGCTGTTAGCATGTTTCTTTAGCCTTTTTGGTCTTCGTTTTGGCCTTCATTCTTGCTTGCTTGCTTGCTGGTATCGGAGATTTAAGACTTCGATGCCCTCGTCTCGACTCGCTACCCCCACACGGCACGGTATAGCCCGGTAAGGCGATAGGAGAAGAATAGGGCAGGCTCGTGATGTGAGTGTGTTCAAGAAGTCTGAGGTGAGCGATAAAGGAAGAGGAGAAGAGATGATGCGCTTACGGTGCGCCCCTCCCCTCCCCTCCCCTCCAACCCAGGCGCTTATGTGTTCCTTCATCTCTAGTGTCAAAACGCTACACCGGCCATGCCGCCGCTTCACAGTTATATCGTCCCGTCCGCGACTTGGCTTCGATTGAAGCCACCCCTGATCCTCGAGGTGCCACAAATTGTGCGCCCAGGCGCGATGTCCATGGAGATACGGGCCTGGAGGCTTGTTATACCCACTTTGGCGGTTAGACCTCTGATTCCGTGTGCTCGGGTTCCGCATACATAGATATACCTAGGTATGTAAAGGTAGGAGGAGGCAGGCAGGCAACCAAAAGGTACGGCCAGCGCGCGGCTCTCGGCCGGCCGCTACGGGACCTCATGTATATGGCTATAGGTAGGTAAACTTGGGAACCAAAGAGGGAAGAATTTAAAGGATACAATTAAACGAACATGGCTAAGTGCTTGGTTTGGCTGTCACACTCTACCTATAGCTAGTATATCGGATCTGGCGGAGATAGTGAGCTCTAAAATCCCCAAAGTTCAAAGTGGTTAGACAGCATTAGCCGATTGGATAGAGAACCAAGGATCAGATGCCGCCGCGATCGAGGGCATTCACGGAACTCGCTAGCTATACCAGGATCAGGTAGTCCAGGCGCATCAATACGGACTTAAGAGGGTAGAGCTGCTTCTACCCGTGTGTTCGTAAGCGTGTGTGGGTATGTGTGGGCATTCGATTAGCGCTAGAACCTCCCGGAATTGCAGCCTGCGGACGCGGCCCACGGCGTGCTGCCGTCTGAATAGTCACAATAGTGCTCCTGAACGATGACGACGCGGTGCGTCCGACGAATGTGGTGCAGTGTGGGCCACGAAATGCCGCCGCGGAGAGTCGAGAGGGGCGCGAATGATGACCTGGTGTATTAGACGGATTGGGAAAGACAAGGAAGCTGGCTAGTTAGGAATAATACCAAGGAAGTGAGCGGCACCGCCCGGGATTAGGGGATAGTGACGCGTTGAGGATGTAGAGGCAGCAGGGAGAGTCGCCCTCGGCCTTAGCACCGAAGGAGACGTGGAGACATGTGTGTATGATGAGTCGAAGCCGGCTCCTCCTGGGCTCAGGTATAAAAAGGCGGTCGAACTCCCACCAGGATAGCAGCGGAGGAATGCAGCCAGGATCCGCAGTTGAATCACCTTCGAAAGCTAGCAAGTGGGCAGAGACACCGAACGTAAGTAAAAGTGTCTTCTCTCTCTCGCTCTCACCCTCGCCCTCTCCTCCTCTCGCCTTCTCCCTCGCTGTCCCCCTCCCTCATTCTTCTCGTGGGCTTGAAGCGATTGTAGCTCCTCGAATACGCGACGGGAAGCGAGACAGCCATCGCTGTGGCGAAGGATGAGCTAGCTCATTTAGGCGCGCCCACCGACGTTGTCGTCGTCTTCCGGCCCTACCGCTTCCCTCCTAATGCTCTGCTACCCACCTAAGCAATCAGGCGCCGACCCCTTTGCTTACATTAGGCACTTTCTCGCAGCTACATAGGCATTCAACCCGCAGTTTCCGCCTGCTCGAGACTCTCAAACTCAATATCACGAGGTGTTGATAAGAGGCAAGCACCTACGCAGGCACAGACAAGGTCAGTGCAACCGGTCTCCTTGTTAGCCCGGGCTGGTCCTTCTGCTCGCTCGCTCGCCCCCTCCCCCTTCTGTAGAACTTGTAGCTAACAACCGCTCGCCAAAGCTTTTCCCACCGTCGGCCGCCCATCGGCCAACTCAACCTCGGACATGTCTGTCTTCAAAATGGCGCCCCCGCCTCAGAGCCCGCTGGCTCGCTACCGCCTCTTATCGCCGACGGCCTCGGTGCGCGTGAGTCCGCTGTGTCTCGGTGCGATGAACTTCGGAGAGGCTTGGAAGGAGTATATGGGCTCCTGTGACCAGAAGACCACCGAGTCCATCCTCGACTTCTTCTACCAGCAGGGCGGCAACTTCATCGACACCGCCAACAACTACCAGGCCGAGGAGTCCGAGATCTGGATCGGCGAGTGGATGAAGAAGCGCGGCGTGCGCGACCAGATGGGTACGTTTTAACCCCCTTTCCCTTCTCTCTTTCTCATTTTGAAAGGGATGGGGGAAAATAAGTTCGAGATGAAAGCCACCTCGAAGCTCGGGTTTCGGAGGCAAATCGTTCAATCCTAAGGGGGGCTTCTCGTCGTTGGATTGTGACGTTGCATTGCCTGCAGTATAAGGGGCGCCGTCTGCCCATGGAAACGACTTCCTCAATTACACCTATCCGCCTTATTTCTGCATAGTGCTAACTAGATGCACCTGGGCGTATCTAGTCATCGCTACCAAATACACTACCAACTTCCGCCCTGACAAGGGCGGGATCATGATAAATAACCAGGGTAACGGAACCAAGAGCTTGCGTATATCCGTCGAGGCTAGTCTGAGAAAGCTGCAGACTGATTACATTGACCTGGTATGTGACGTTTGTTTCTCTCTAGGCCGCATGAGGACGCTTATCCCGGAATACAGCTCTACGTTCACTGGTGGGATTCCAGTGCCTCCATTCCCGAGCTGATGCAGTCGCTAAACCGGCTGGTGGACTCTGGCAAGGTGCTATACCTTGGTATCAGCGACACGCCAGCGTGGGTGGTGAGTAAGGCCAACGAGTATGCGCGCAACCATGGCCTCCGCCAGTTCAGCGTATACCAGGGCAAGTGGTCGGCCGCTACACGCGATGTCGAGCGGGATATCCTCCCCATGATCAGAGTTGAAGGTATGAGCATGGCGCCGTGGGGCGCGCTGGGGGGCGGTAAGTTCAAGACGGAGGAGCAGCGCAAGAACCGCGAGAGCGGGCGTTCGGCCAATGCTACCGAGGCCGATATCAAGGTCAGCAAGGCCCTTGAAGCGATTGCCAAACGCAAGAACACCATCATTACTAGTGTGGCTCAGGCGTATGTCATGCACAAGGCGCCGTACGTCTTCCCGATCGTCGGCGGGCGGACCAAGGAGCATCTAAAGGCGAACATCGAGGCACTGTCGCTGAGCCTCTCGGAGGAGGACATCAAGGAGATCGAAGGCGCCGCCCCTTTCGATCTCGGCTTCCCGAACTCTTTCCTCTACGCCGGCGGCTTTCCAGACAACGCAGCCAACGTCTGGATACTAGGCACGGGCGGTACGATGGACTATGTGGAGGAGCAGAAGCCGATCGCGCCGGCGAAGGCGGGGGAATAGAGGACTCGCGCCGTGACCGACTCGTGGCAGTGGCTCCGTCGACACTACCCGTACTGAGCGGAGCAGTGCTGTTGCAGCAGCCCTATCTAACTGTCAAGCGGCCGAAGCGCTGTTGCTTACCCGGTCTTCTGCCTCGCTAGCTAGCTCGAAGCTGTGGTTGTCGGGATACTGATTGCAGGAGTGAGGACGCCAAGAATATGTATCAACTACGGAAAAGGATAGGAGGACGCGGAAGGTGGGAGAAGAGAATGTTACGCTTCGAGTGTGTAGAAAAGTAATGTCGTTAGAGGAGCGATAGACAGCTGGCCGAAACCTGTGCGATGGTAATTCCGGGATATGAATCGGGGCAAGGTACCTGCCTACAGGTAGGTACCGAATATAAAAGGTACCTACCTAACCTAACCTCGGTGATCCTCTTCATGCATTCAGAAAGGCAAATGCGGGAGCATGCAGATAAAGTGGTGGTTGCTATGCTGGGTGCATACCTGCCCCGGTAAGTACTTACGATAGATAGAAAGTACCTCTAGGTAGAAAAGCAAGCAGCAGGTACCTGTTATAGCTATTCATTCTTGCCTTCCCTTCATGATGGTAGGTGCACGATGGCTGGAGGCAACTGCTGGATCTCTACGACGTGAGCCGGCTTTATGGATTCTCGTCTCTCCTTCTCATTTCTGTCCCTGCTCTTGTCGCTAACTAGGTACGCCCCCCTCTCTCTTGGCATTCAAAATCCGTCAATATTCGTAAATAGGGACAAGTAATCTCGGGCCAGTCCTCTCCCCGGTACTCATGCGGGATCAGAGCGAAGAGGGCCATTGATCTCACCACCGCCCGCAAACCTCCTGCTAATGGATCCTATCATTTCGGCGGCCTCGTGGGACCCTCGCCTTCTCACCAGCGCGAGAGTGGCCGCCCTCCTGCCCGAACGCTCATGGTCACTGAATATCGTTGACGGAGACCACGAGGTTGGGAGCTATGAAGGCGGAGGTCCTGGTGCTCTGGAGAGGAGGGGTAGATCCGCGTCTCCTATCCGCGCCAACGTAAAGCGGAGGCGGTCTGTCGCTTCTGCCCCGGGGGACGTCTTAGCGAGGCAACCATCCAGGTACCGACACCAGGCTTTGGCCTCTCCGCGACGACGTTTTCTCCGTCTATCCATCCTGACCCTGGGCTACGTAGCCAGTCTTTCGAGCAACCCAGCTCTCGAGGCAGGAGGAAGCTACCGGCAATGCCGCTTAGCCAGCAAAATCAGCCTAGTGATAGTGAACCTAAAGGAGTGTCGACCTTTCAAGCACTTTCCGCTCCAAGCCGATCCAGTCGTTCTCCCGGCCCGACTATAAGTCAGCCTATACCTTATCCTGCCCACGCTAGGTCCCCCAAACGCCGGAGAGTAACCAGAAGCAGCGAAACGCCTCAGACGCCGACTACCAACAGAGACAAGGGGTTTGTGAGTTCGCCTAGAGTGATCAGGGGTTCGACGAGATCTGCAGAGACACAGTTGAATTCGGAACGGAAAAATAACAACCAAGGGCTAGCGTATGAGACAAAGGGCGCCTTCCGGCTTAAGAAGGGTCAGCGAAAAGATGAATTCCGCCTCCCAAAGTCTCAAAGCGAACCGAAATCACTCTGGCTCCCAGGAGACGGGTTTTCGGACGAGGAAACGAGGTCAGACTTCGTGTTACCGATGGCCGGCGGGCACAAGCGGAAGAGGTCTCGATCACTCCCTATTATAGGAAAACTCCAATTAGAGAGTGAGGATGTATGCGGCCCAGGATCGCCTGCACTGGGAAGTAGCCGTGTAATGGGCCGATATCCCGCTCCAGGCGAGACCAGGCTGCGCCGTGGCGTAGCCAAAGATATCTGGCCTACCGTCGATGACTTCTCGGAGGAGCTGGATGTACGAGCGCATAATACAGGTAGAGAACCAGATGATGAGGTTGTTCCTTCGACAATGTCGCCCCAGCCTACGCTAGTTCCCCTGTCCCGGGAAAACTTTAGGTACGTACCTCCGTCGTCGCGGAAGAGGAATCATTGCGAGTTCGAAAACTTCGGGCGGTGGCCCCTCAACGGCGGTTTTGGGGACACTGTGGCGGAGGAGCTGTCTGGGCCCGCTCGGGTACCGGCTAGAGTATCTTACGGAATGGAAGATGGCGACGAAAGTGGTGACGGCGAGCGTGGAGGCGGAGAGGTAAGCGAGGAAGAGGAGGACGAAATGGAAGATGAAGACGACGAAGCTGCGGTCACATCGGAATCCAGCGGCTCTGCCGGTGGCATGTCCACTGGCTCTCCTGAATAGCGGGCCCGACGCTAGGTATTTCCCAAATTCTCTCCTTAATAATAAGAACGTGTTGCAGGGGTGTAGATCAGCAAGGCCCAAGGAAGAGTCTGCTTACCCCTTTAAACGCTATACTGGAGGTTTTATGTATTTGTATCTTGTTGCAAAACGGAAGGTAGAGGCGGGTTCTTTCTCACAGCGAGGATGGTAAGATTTGTGGTTTGCTAGAGGATGATAATCAGCTCTCGCGGTGGATCGTTTGCAAGAAGGGTGTATATGTAGTGTAGAGTACTACCTACGCTGTAACATATTTTATTTTTGCGGAAATTGAAACTCCGTCCTCTTGAACGCCTACTCGCTCCAGGCCGTCTTTACCGACGGGTGTCCTTAGGAAAATCTCAGTATACTGATTGATACCACCATACACGGAATCAGGAAGAGGCTCCTCGCTCTTCGTCCTCGTCTCGCTCTTTCTCTCGTAAATCCATTTCCGGCTTTAGCGATCCCTTGTCGTGGGGAGGTTCTCATCTGCTCCCTTTCATGCACGCGCACATCTCGTTCTTCTCCATCCTCCTCTCCTCTCACCCTGCCTTCCCTTTCTCCTCCCCTTCTCATCCCTTCGACACTTCTACCCCCCCCCCCCCCCACCCCGGCCGTGAGGTTCCTAAGCTCCCTCCTCCTCCTTACTTTGCCTTGCCCTTGGGGAGGGCCTCGTTGTCGGCGAGCTCGCGGACGAAGATGCGGGTGCGGCCCTCGGCGTTGTAGTCGCCCATGCCGGTCTCGAAGCCGGGGCAGACGGCGACGGCGAGGTAGCGGCCGTCGCGGGAGAAGGCGAGGGCGGCGACGGAGTCGGCGAACTTCTGGTAGACCTTCATGCGCCGCTTGGCGTCGGCGTCCCAGAGGGCGACGGTGGCGTCGCCGCCGCCGCTAGCGAAGGTGCTGCCGTGGACGGGGTGGAAGGCGAGCGCGTTGACGGGGAAGACGACGTCGGTAGGGGCGGGGGGCGGAGCAGCAGGGTCGGCAGGGGCCGCCGCGGCGGGCTGCGTGGCGCGGTGGCACTTGAAGGCGTACTTGCGGGCCTGGGACTCGGCGCTGGCGTCGAACCACTCGACGGCGACGCGGCCCTCGATGCTAGAGGTGGCGTAGCCGGCGTCCGACGGCATGGCGGCGACGGCGCGGGTCAGGAACTTGAGCGACGACTCACGCTGCTGCCAGGGCCGCGGCGGCGGGTCGGTCGCGGCCGAGGGCGACGCGGCGGCCGCCGCGAGCGCCGCCAGGTCGTAGATGTGCACCAGCCGCGACGTCATGGCCACCACCAGCTTCGACGGGCTCGCGGCCACCGCGTGCGGCTTGCCCGGCAGCGGCACCGAGAGCGCCGCCGCCGACGGGTCCGACGGCCGGTGCACGTGCAGCGTGTCGTCCCAGGACGCGGAGATGAGGAGGGCTGTGCGCGCGGGGGGGGGGTTTTCTGTTAGCTAGCTAGCTCGGGCATCCTCTTTGCTCTCTCTCTCAGCCCTCTCTCTCGTCTAGCCGCCTCGGCGTCCAGCGGATCCTCGCGAGGGGCGAGGGGAGAGAACGACGGGGGGCCGGGGAGAGAGGGGGGGGGTGTGGAAAGGACTCACAGTGTTCGCGGCTGTAGACGACCCTGCGGACGGCGGCGGCGTGCTGGCTGAGGACGGTCTGGTCGCCGGTGGCAAGGTCGAGGCGGCGGACGTTCCGGTCCAAGCAGGCGGTGAAGGCCTCGCCGTCGCGGGCGCCGAAGCAGACGTCGAGGACGGGGGCGCGGTGGGGGAAGGTGCGGAGGAGCGCGCCGCGGCCGCCCTCCTCGTCGGCGGCGGCGGCGGCGTCGCGGCCCTGCAGCGTGTCGTACAGGTAGACGTGCTTGTCCCACGACGCGGCCAGCAGCCGCGACGGCGACTCCGGCGCGAACGCCAGCGCCGACACCACGTCCGTCGGCGGCTGCGAGAGCTCGAACTGCGTCGCTGCGGGTTCGAGCGAGGTTAGCCTGCGCGCGCGCGGACGCGACGGGGGGTGCGGGTGTGCGGGAGGAGGGTTCTCTGTTACTGGCGGTCGTACGAACCTGGTGGCGCCATGAATTGATTGATATCTGTGTAGGATTTCGGGTCGGCGGCTGCAGCAGTTGGTGTGGAGTCGTGCTGTCGCGTCGACTGCTCTCCCGTAGTGCTGCTCGTGAAGTGCTGCTCGTGTAGGACGCTCGTGTTCGGTATTAGTTTGGGTGAGGACGAGAGGTAGGTAGGTAGGTTAGGTATGTAGGTATGTAGAAAGTAAATATCAATAACGGGGTACTACAGTGACAACCTAAGCAAAGCTCCCTTTACTGCCGCTCCACGCCGCCTTGACTTTTGGCATGCTTGATAAGATAAATAGGCTTGTGGAGGGGCAGCCGCCAGGTACCTCTAGGTATATAGGTAGGTACCCTTTTACTTTGGACACCCAACTCCTAGACATCTACATGCCCTCCTCGCAGCTCTTTTTGGCGCTGCTACGGAAGAGCGATCGCCCTCGAAACCCTACATCACCTATATTTCTACAGGCCTGAAGATGCCTTTTGCGCAGCTCGTCCTGGGCAGCCCTGGCTCGGGGAAGAGCACCTATTGCGATGGCAGTAAGTCACCCATCTACTCGGCCCAGCCCTCGCCTCGGCCTCTAACTGTGCGACTCCTCGGTGTGAATAGTGCACCAATTCATGGGCGCCATCGGGCGCGAGTGCTCTGTCGTCAACCTCGATCCCGCAAACGACAAGACCAATTATCCTTGCGCTCTCGACATCCGGGACTTGATCACGTTAGAGGAGATCATGAGCGACGACCACCTCGGCCCCAACGGAGGGGTGTTGTACGCATTTGAGGAGCTCGAGCACAACATGGAGTGGCTTGAGAACGGCCTGAAGGAGCTGGGCGAATCCTACGTTCTCTTCGATTGCCCGGGGCAGGTTGAGCTATATACACACCACAACTCGCTCCGTAACATCTTCTTCAAGCTCCAGAAGCTGGGCTTCCGGGTAAGCATATGCCCGCCGGCCGAGTCAGCCGGGATCTAGCGATTGACAGACGCCCAATATAGCTTGTAGCCGTGCACCTATCCGACAGCTTCTGCCTGACCCAACCGAGCCTATACATCTCAAACCTTCTCCTGACCCTCCGCGCCATGCTCCAGATGGATCTCCCCCACATCAACGTCCTTACCAAGATCGACAAAGTCTCGTCCTACGATCCGTTGCCTTTCAACCTCGATTTCTACACCGAAGTACAGGACCTGTCGTATCTGATGTCGTACCTCGAGGAGGAAGCGCCCGCAATGCGCAGTGACAAGTTCAGTCGGCTCAACCAGGCCGTCGCGGACATGGTGGAGAGCTTCGGTCTAGTGCGGTTCGAGGTTCTGGCTGTCGAGAATAAGAAAAGCATGATGCACCTCTTACGAATAATCGACAGGGCTGGTGGATACGTTTTCGGTAGTGCGGAGGGGGCCAACGACACGGTGTGGCAGGTGGCTATGCGCAATGAGTCTTCCATGATGGAGGTGCAGGACATCCAAGAGCGATGGGTTGATGCGAAGGAGGCCTACGACGCGGTGGAGGAGAAAGAGTGGGAAGAGCAATTGAAGAGGCAGGAGACCAACGCTACTCCAGGCTTGATACCGGATGACGATGACGAGTTCGACGGAATGCCGCCGCCTGTAGGCGATAGTGGGATAAAGGTAGTCCGAAAGAAGAGGTGATGCCCTCTCAACCGTCGCTTACTTCGCCCATCTCTGCATCGCTATCGTCGTCCTCAATACCTAACAGGTCGGTGGCGGTAGCGTCATCTGACCGGGTTGGCTGTCCGAATAGATTGCCGAGAGGGTCGTCGGTCTGGCCGCCTCGGCCGTTCTCTGCGGCGAAGATGAGGTTCCGAGCGCGGCGAATGGCCTCTTCCTCGGCTTTGCGCATGGTGCCGCTCACGTGAACGACGCGGAAGATGCACGGCTTGCCGTTCTTGACAGGGACCGAGTTCATAAAAGAGAGGGCAGCCCACACGAGGCGGTAAGTCGATCTCGTAGTCCGCACGATGAAGGTCGAGGTGGCGGGGGAGTGATATTTGACTGACAGGGCTGGGCGTTAGTTCGGCATGCACACCGAGACGGCGTGCGCAGGCCTGACTCACCTGTCAAGCTTCCGGCTTCGATGGCCCCGGCGCCGTAGTCCCCGAATAGACTGGCGACCTCGGCGCGTATGGTTCGGAGGAGGAGGGCCGGGGTGAGTTGGTCGGTCGTCGGCTGGTTTACGAGGACAAGATCGGGCAGATCGGGGCGGGTGCCGATCTCGTTAGGGTATAGTATCTTCACGAGAAGGTAGCGTTCCTTGATTCGCACCATGGCGGTATGGGGTCTCGCGGTATGCGACGATGGCCGGTGGACGGCAGCAAGTGCAAGGTTGAGGCTCGCGCAAAAAAAGCGGCGGAAATTTCTGGGGTGCGTCTTTGTTTATGGAGCTGGCGTTGCTCGCTATCTCTGCAGGATGTGCCTACCTACTTAGGTGGAGGGGGCCCCGAGTCGAGTGCTTCTTATCGATATACCTGCCTCGCGCTTATCACATATGGAGCATTGGAGGCACGACTTCATCGCAATGATGCGCCAAGCAAGGAATTTGCAACTATCTACATATGTAGTAGAGTCATTGTAATATCAACCGTTTCCTCCCTCTCTCTCTCTGTCTCTTAGCAACATCTTAACCCGTTTTCGCCCGACCTGTTACGGCATCTTTCGTGCAGCTGACGCAGCCATGTCCAGCCGTCGAGAGCTGCTAATCCCTACACGGCCGTCTTCCCCCTCCCTCCCTCTTATCGGTTCAATACCTACACGTAGCATACCCGTGTCATTCGCTTCACCACTTGGAAACGCCTATTTCCGGCGAAGAGAACAGAGAACAAGAGATCTTGCTTCTTCCCCGCATCCTGCTGCCGTCTGCTCGTCTCGGGGACTCCATCTCACCGATTGCATCATAAAAACCGTGACACAGCCACACTAACCCATCCCAATATATCCCTCCTCTTCTTTTCTGTCCGTCATCCAATGGCATCACTCGCATCGTGAGAATAGACGTCTCGACACCGGGCCGTCCCCGAACACGCAACAAATCATGTCGAAGACCGCCTTGCGGGTCGCCGTGCTGATTGTCTCCACGACAGCAGCCAAAGATCCCTCGACGGATTCTTCCCAGGCTGCCCTGAGCGAGGTCCTCGCCAAAGAGGACGGGAGGTGGGAGGTCGTCGAAACCAAGATCGTGCCCGATGTCGCCTCTCAGATTCAGGAACAGATTATGTTGTGGGCCGACCGTGCCGCAGACCACATCAACCTCATCCTCACCAGTGGCGGCACCGGTTTTACCGTGGCTGACAACACTCCGGAGGTAAATCAAGCCCCTACGTCGCAATGAGATGTCCGCCCCGAACATCCCGCGACCTGGCTAACGAGGCCCAGGCTGTCTCCGCGCTAATCCACAAACCGGCGCCTGGCCTGGTGCATGCCATGCTGGCCGCCTCCCTCGATGTTACCCCGTGTGAGTGAGTTCGCATCCGATGCGTGGATAAAATGCTAACATCGGTAAGTCGCCATGATGGCTCGCCCGGTTGCCGGCGTCAGGAACAAATCTATCGTCATCACCCTGCCAGGCTCGCCGAAAGGTGCAAGAGAAAACTTGCAGGCGGTGCTAAAGACATTGCCGCACGCATGTCTTCAAGCCGCCAGCATCGACTCCAGAGCGCTGCATGCTGGCGGTATAGAGAAGCTCGAGGCGGAAGCCGGCTTACGATCGGACTCGGGCCAGGCGCGCGCACATGGCCAACATCACAACCACGGAGCTGGCCATCAGCACAGCCATAGCCACGGCAGTAGTCACGACGGCCACCGCCATGGCCACGGGCATAGCCACGATCATGGTCACGGCAATTTAGTTAGACACACGCCATCTAGCGCGAATCCGATGTCCAACGATCCGAATCTCGGCCCCAGTCGGAGGAGTCGAGAGTCCCCGTACCCGATGCTCTCCGTCGACGACGCTCTGAAACTGATTAAGCAGCACACGCCGCCGCCGGAAATTATCACCTCCAAGGTTGATGTGTCGCTTCCTGGTCTCGTGCTTGCCGAGGACGTCCGCGCGAAGGAAAATGTGCCTGCATTCAGGGCAAGTATTGTCGATGGCTACGCCGTTGTTGTACCTAAGGGCGGAGACATGAAGGGGGTCTTCCCCGTCGTGTCGGTGTCCCACGCGTCGCCGGGCGAGGCGAAGCCGCTGAAGGTAGGCGAGATCTCGAGGATCACGACGGGGGCGCCGCTGCCGCCGGGAGCCACGTCCGTCATCATGGTCGAGGACACGATTTTGAAGACTATGACCGACGACGGGAAAGAGGAAAGGGAAGTAGAGATTCTAGCAGACAACGTGAAGGAGGGAGAGAACATCCGCGAGATGGGCAGCGACATCAAAGCGGGCGCCACTATCCTCAGCAAGGGCGAGCGCATATCCGCTGTCGGCGGCGAGATCGGCCTCCTGGCTGCCGTCGGTGTCGCCGAGGTGAAGACGTACCGCCGGCCCATCCTGGGCGTGCTGTCGACGGGCGACGAGATCGTGCCGCACGACCGACCGGGAACCCTGCGACTCGGCGAGGTCCGCGACACGAACCGCATCACGCTGATGTGCGCAGCGCGCGAGTGCGGGTATGAGGCTATTGACCTTGGTATCGCGGCGGACCGGCCGGGCACGCTCGAGGAGACCCTGCGGCACGCCCTACGACGCGTCGACTTCATCGTGACGACGGGTGGCGTCTCGATGGGCGAGCTCGACCTACTCAAGCCGACCATCGAGCGCGCGCTCGGCGGCACGATTCACTTCGGCCGCGTGGCTATGAAGCCCGGCAAGCCGACGACGTTCGCGACGGTTCCTGTCAAGGAGCACAGTAGCGGTCATCGGACGCCCAAGGTCGTCTTCTCGCTGCCGGGCAACCCAGCTTCGGCCATCGTCACGTTCCACCTGTTCGTACTGCCGTCGCTGCACCGTGCGGCGGGTATAGCGCCGGAGGGCCTGCCACGGGCCCGCGTGACGCTCGCGCACGACTTCACGCTCGACCGCACGCGCCCGGAGTATCACCGCGCCGTCGTCTCGGCGGGCCCGGCCGGCCTAGTGGCGGTCAGCACAGGCGGCCAGCGCAGCTCTAAGGTCAGCAGCTTGCGCGGCGCGAACTGCCTGCTGTGCATGCCGAGCGGGGACAAGCCCCTACGGAAGGGAACGACAGTCGATGCACTGCTCATGGGACCCATCAGGAGTGATCTCTGGTGAGAAGAAGAAAGACAAGTCATAGGTACCTATGTAGGAAGGTGTAAGGCTTTGATGTTGGTTCATCCGAACGGCTTCATGGATACCCCGGATACTTAACAACAGTTAAAGTGATGTGCTATTCAAAGGCCACACATTGTAGGGGTGACCTTGCGTATAGTAAGCATTATTCAGGCGAGAGCTGCATGATATTCTCAACCGTTTGCAACTCACATGCAACTATAACTTATCCAATACAGCTACCTGCGATACTACCTAGGTGGATATGCATATTGCTACTGTGATGGTTCGTTCATACTCACGCCAAACCACCAACGACCCGAATCTCTCTTCACAACGGCATGTCTCAATAATACCACTTGTAAGACAAGCCTATACAATTGAGATAGGCTCACCGGTCGACCCCACCGACGAGCAGGTGGATTCTTCCCCGGCTCTGGAACGTGTATCGGTCCCCTTTCCCGTCTTGCCGTCTCATGCACTTCACCTGAGCAGCAAATTATTATTACAAGTTCTAACGTAATTTTTACTAAGCGATCCACGATCGTTCGATTCAGCTTCGAATCCACACTTCCATAGGCACGTTAGTAGAGGGTATTATTTACTGAGCGTCGTAGTAGGCTATTTCTGGCAACAAAGACGAGAACATCTTAAGAGGCCCTTATTTGGGGGATATCGTTCCGGTTATTGTTACGAATTACGGAGCAAGTTGAAATTTCGATAACTCCTCGGAAACAGAATATGTCTGTCAGAACCGGGGCCGAAAAGCCGTATCAGAATTTGTATGCTACCAATGCCGAATTTAACATGGGCCGCATCCTTTACAACCCCATGTTCACCAAACGCAGTCTATCCCAACTCTTGTGCAACAACGCGAAAAAAACGAGACCCAATGCAATCGTAAATCATAATATCGTCTAATTTGTCGTTGCAAACTCCCAGAACCCCAATATGGTGTGTATAGTATGGTAGAAAAAGCAGCTCGAGATTTTCTATAGCTTAGATGTTAATAGATGCCAGAGAGGGGAAGCTCTCTAAGTCCAAAGCCGTTAGAAGGTCGGTGGAATTATCAGACGACAAATACGTATAAGCCGTTAGCGTTCTCCAAGGCCGTTATGGTCCGTAGAAGCACCCGTACTATTCCGCAACCAACGGGCTCGCCCTGTCGCCGCCGTCCTGCAGACCCGACGCCGTCTTCCGCGCCGCCGTCTCCAAGTTGCCGTCTAGTTCGGCGTCGGGGACGTGCTTGCGCGGCACCCAGGGGAGCTGAGCGACGCCGATCGCGGCGACGGCGGCGCAGCTGAGCCAGGCGGCGGCGGAGCCGCGGGCGCTGTATATGGAGCCGACGAGGGGGGGGGAGACGGTGCGGGCGAGGCAGCAGGCGGACATGGCGAGGCCGTTGACGCGGCCGAGGAGGCGGGGGTCGGGGGTGGCGTCCTTGAGGAGGATGAGGGCGCAGGGGAGGGCGATGATGCCGAAGAAGCTCTGGAGGGCCATGGAGAGGTAGACGCCGGGGGCGACGAGGGGGCGCGGCGCGGCGGAGAGGAAGGGCATGAGCAGGTACGCGAGGGGGTAGAGCGCGACGTTGACGGCGAACGACGCCCACACGCCGACGCGGCCGACGAACGCGGGGAACACGACCCCCTGCACGAACAGCCCCAGCAGCCCGTTCACCGACAGGTACACCCCCACGTCGTGCACCGTGTACCCCAGCCCGCCGACGAGGTCGAGACGCCCCGGCGCCCGCGCCGGCCGGTCGAGCAGGTGCGTCGGCAGCAGCGTGCCGAACGCCATTTGGTGGTACGACACGAGCACCAGCGCGACGGTCACCATGACGATGGTCGAGTTGAAGGTCCTCGGGGCGGCGGGGGGCTTCTCGGGCCGCCGCAGGTCGAAGGTCGGCTCGACGGCGTCGGCGCCGGGGATCTCGCGGCGGCAGAGCGGGGCGCGCTCGTCGTCGTCGTCGGCGGCGGCGGCGAAGACGAGGGCGTCGTCGGGGCGCGGCTCGCGCGGGGGGTTGGTCTCCTCGAGGAAGAGCGCGCCCTGGACGATGGCGAGCGCGATGGCGACGACGGAGACCAGGTTCGGCAGCAGGTAGGGGTAGCGGCCGAAGAGGCCGTCGGCCGCGAACACGGACGGGTAGAACACGGCCGGCTGCGCCAGGAACCCGCCCATCGCGGACCCGATGATCCCGCCTAGCGTCCACACGAACGGCTGCGTCGCGTACGCCGCCGGCTCGTGCTCCGGTACCTTGACCATCTCCGCCACCATCGTCTGCATGACCTGTAAACCAACCGGCGTGAGCACTTCCTGTCGCGACACGTTCGAAGGAAGGGGGAGAGCAATTCTGGCTGCGCTTAGTAGCGGGAGGAACAGGAGAGAATAGGAGTGCATCCTTCTCCTCCCCCCCCAGTCCCAGTAAAAGGAGAAGAAGCAAAAAAAAGAAAAAGAACAGGTATCAGGTATTAGAGAGCTTGCACGCACCGCGACGTTGCCGTTGAGGGCGCCGCCGATGAAGCGGGCGAGCAGGGCGACCCAGTACTCAGTGGCGAGGCCGAAGATGAGGCTGGAGAGGGCGACGCCGCCGAGGCCGAAGAGGACCACGGGCTTGCGGCCGTAGCGGTCCGACAGGGCGCCCCAGCCGATGGCGGTCAGCGCCTCGGCGGCGGCGTACGCCGAGACCAGCAGGCCCGCGTAGAAGGACGCGTCCGTGTCGTCGCCGCCCTGCAGGTCCGTCACCATCACGTACGTGTACGCCAGGATCGAGTTGAACGCGATCGGCTCCGAGAAGCGGCATATCGCTAGGGGGACGTCAGCTCGAGGTGCCCGTGACGAGGGTGCGAGAAGGTGAAGGGGGGGAGAGAAGGGACTGAAGAGGAGCGCGTACCGAGGATGGTGAGCTGCTTGGTAGGAAAGGCATGGGGATCCGGCTGCTGAAGCCTGTCCGAAGACATGTTATTATCTTTTCCCTCGTTGCGGCTAGCGGTCGCGCGGCTGCCGGCCCAATCGACAGGAACGAGAGAGGCAGACAGGCTGCTGATCCAATCTAGTGCTGGCTCCTCCTCTGTCCTCGCCCGGTTTTCTCGCGAGCTCGATGTTGGAGGAAGAGGTGGCTGCTGCTGATCTCGCCTTGCTCAAAACGAGATAGACAAGTTGGCTAATTAGAAAGACAGATTTCCCACCTGTGCGGGGAAGCTGAGCAACGTGCGAGGTCGGCGTCAAGAAGGATGGGAGGGGTGGATGGGTGGGTGGACACTATTATCGTCGATCGTTCCGCCAGATAGTCGGGAGTTCACTCGGTTGAATTCCCTTGCATGCGGGTTGCCCATCTATACCTATTACTTATTGTTTTATGTTTATCTGTAATACTGGGCTGGGTGATCGGCTGCGAAGTCAGAACGCCTAACAACCCAGTGTTGACATGGAGGTGTGGATGCATACACAGACATCTGGGCGTGTCTGTGCACAAAGGCGGGTGCGGATGATGTGTCGCTTCAACAAGCACACCGATCCCGCACATATCGTGGCATCCCGCCGCAACTCCACACGATATCGCTGTCGAATGGGCAGGATTGTTTTCCACTATCTTGCAGGAAGTTGTTTGGGTTTCTTCTAGAATTTCCGCTGGCTAGAGGGTCTTTTTCGGGGTTCCACTCTTTTTGACGATGGCTTGTTCTCGCACCAGAAGGGAAATTCCCCGAGCGGCTCGACGACGACCTCCACGACGGTAGAATGATATATCCTGTCTGCATGATGGCTGATCTCGATTTCTGATCTCTCAGTTTCTTCTGGATTGTCGTGCAATAAATATAGTACAGCCTCGAGCAATGTCAGCGAAGTCAGAGGTGTGGCAGCTATCTTACACAAAGATGAGATGCGAGAAGAAATGCTGTCATGAATGAGGAAACGACGCGGACAGCTTTGGGATGCCCTGATTCACCGCTGGCCTATGTATCCCCCTTAGCATTCCTGTCACATAATACGAGAGTTGGTTGAGATATGCTCAACTATTATGTTGCGTGACAATGACTACAACCTCACTTCCCTATCTGGTTATGTAGCATACTATATGGGTACGTTATTTTGCTACATAACGCTATCTGAGAGCCTCATGAATTGAGCCTAATATCCATATGACATATCACATCGCTTTCATGTTACGTTTTTTTAAACTTAAACAGGATATCGTCGAATTTTGTTGTTAGGAAGATGGCGGCGCCTAAGCTCTCTGCTTGGGCCATTGCCGAGATGCTTTCTCATCTTTCCGATTTAGTGTAATATAAGAAGATTTCGAGGAACATGACTACCGCTATACAAATGGACAGCTCATTAGATGACTATATCAACCACCCTCGAAAATCACTGTGCCATACCCGTACCCCAGCCTCCATTCATTCGCTGGGAGGGATAACCGCCCCTATTGGAAACCACGTGGTAAATATGTGGTTACGGCGAATTTGACAGATTTGCCTCGCTTATTGACCAGTCAGGACGCAAGAGATGAAGGAACATTCAATGGAGTCGGGAATGCGGACATACCTAACTAGCGGCCTTGCACGAATGGTTGCTTGGCCAAGCCTATACTATTGCTCCGCCGAGAACGTGGTGGGTTGGGGTGATCCCGCGGTTATAATATCAACGAGTTACTGTCAGTTAATTCAGGGAGCCAATTTCGAGTCACCGACCGAATTTGACATCTCTAGTTTGTCATAGTTGTGTCAGTCCACACAACGAAACGCTAACCAACTCCTATATTTTGAAGCTTGTAAAGATGCCTTCGCTAGAAAGTATTGAACTAGCACTCTTTAATCATTTCCCAGCCTTGGCCCTGACTAGGACTTGAAGACGGCCAAGCCCATGCTTATAAACTCGCCAAGAGAGCGTCATCCGAACTTCCTGAATAGGATCGGTACACAGCCTCCAACTACAGTTCTCAATTCCGGTCTATATCATATCAATGAAACCGCCGGGTCAATCAAGATCTAAGGATTGATTGGCTTTCTGTTTGTCCCTTGACACTCCATGCTAGACTGGCAACTCGAGTCGAAGAAGATGAGTTTTTGACATGGCAACCCTTGCATTGTTCTGCAAATTGATATCGCCGAAGAGCACTCGGAGAACCCTCTAAAGGTTCTGTTGTATGTATGTATCTCGCGCCCATCTGTGGTTTTGTTGAAATTCGCCAGTAGGCAATGTTCTGCTACTATAGTTACATAGGGCTACCTATGGGGATCGATCGACTTCAAATCCTGTTAGGAGCGAGCAGCTCGCTGGGATCGCTTGAGAAGACTCTACAAAATTCGGTTGGACACTTAGGCATGTATTACTACTTGATATCCTAGGGATACACTTCTAAATACAGGTCAGGTAACTAGCTTCCCCTAGGCGAAGAGCTCCCCTCACCCTGCTAACGTGGGCAATACCCTCAGCTTCCACTCAAGACTGACCGGAGAGCACACGCGAAGGTGTATTAGTATTATTACGTGTGTTATGGAAAAGCTACCAGTCCTTGAAGGCCAGCCTCGAACAGTTCACTTATATTCTGTCTAGGATATGCCTTGGGAATTTGGCGTCGTGATTTTCACCGCAGGGTAATAAGCCGTGTTGGGATTTGGTGATGCATATGCATGTTGAGTTGTATCGAGCTGTATCGTGATCGTCGGGGGTGGCTAACAGGCCGAATACCTTCCGTACCAGAACTTTTGAAACGGACACTCAATATTTGATCTCTTACAGACAACACAAGGAAAACGAACTTGTCCCGTGAAACCAATTATCAACCTCTACAGCTTTTCGCAGAGACTATCTCATATCTGCCCACCCCAGAGGTGCCGGCGAGGATAATGGATGTACCGACACCAACCTGATTTTACGGGGGCTGATCGTATGGCTCTTCTGGTAGGCACCATAGTTATTAGCACAGGTTATACTCTTGATTGATGGAGCGGAAAAGGTTCGGCGTTAGTAGAGACCTGATATTAACTTTGTCATTTCAACATATGGAAAATGGCCGAGGGGAAGACAACAAAGTCGCCTATGCACTGGTGTTGCGTCAAATTCCAGGCGAAGCAGGAGATTGGCATGAGAGAATACGCAATTGACTGCTATTCCCGAGCCTGGGGCTCTAGGCAGGTGGATACACGGGGATAAAAGTTGACTGCGCCTGTTCACCCCGACACACACTCAATGTCTCGCTGTCCCAGCCTCGCTTCCTATCCACATCTCACGACAGGAGCCAATCGGCGACACCGTAGTAAGAAATGAAACAGTCTTCTGAGGTCTACGCGTCCTCTGTCGCGTCGACTTGTTCAGTAGGCAGGCCTACTGCCTATTTTTACCTGCAGCCGGATTCGCATGATTCGATAACACAGGACTGAGGAATATCAGATATGACATTTGCTGCAACCCTCCCTATGCGCTGGGAATATTGCTGCTGGCATACGCGGCGCTCGACCCTCAGTCCTCGACCTCGGAGGGGTCTATTAATAGACTAGCTGTTGGTTAGACCGCCGCGTACCTCGTCCCCGCAATTGATCTGCTAGTATGGACCCGTATCACCAGCGTCGCATGTTGGGATTTGTTTACGCCGCAGCTTTTTTCAGCGAGACTTACGATCGGTGACGTAGGTACAGGGCAGACGAAGCAGAGCGCAGCCGAAACTGCGCCTCTTATTTCCCAGCTGATCGGATGGTGTTTGCTAGATAACGACGCGCAATTCCTATCCATACAGGGAGCGATATCGGTGCGAATAGGGGGAAGGGGGAAAGGGAGGGGGGGCCGGGGCCGGGGGCGGGTTAGCCGGGACAATATTGCGAAACCATTTTCTGTTGCGAACTGGTGAGCTCGGTTGGTCGTGCGATGCGACAACGTGATTCGCGGGCTCCTGGATGCACTGCGATTGGAGTAATTTGGTCGACGAGGGCAAACACCGCCCTCGTCGGCGTGGCTCTGCCCTATTATCGATTCCGATGTAACAATGTGGCGCTCATCGCGCGAGCCTGAGCAAGCTGCATTATACGAGGTCGGTATTATCCGTACGCACCCTCTTGGGCGATTCTGGTCAACTATCCGGCTAATGCTACCAGTTTCGACCGTTGGATCAGCCGCATGTTGCCGGCCTGGGACATATTTTAAGCATCTTCACCCGGGGATCCGACGTCAGCTGAACCGAAACTCGCTCTGTAGACAAGGCTCTTAACCATCTGCTAGTATGTGATATACACCAAGCTGTATTATGTCCATAGGTATCGTCAGAACTTTTGATTTGGTGCTTACGCCGCAATGCCTAACGTGGAAAGTAACACCAAATGGACGAACTATTGGAAATACCCCTTGCGAAGTTCGCTTCCCGCTTCACTTCCCGCTTCAAGCTTTTACTAGAATTGATTGTATCCACTCATGGACAATTTACAGGGCTGACATCCGCAGAATGTCGCTGCCTAAGAAAGTCGACATTCCAGCGTTCAGAAGGATACCGCGAGTTCCGACCGCCGTGATGACCTAAGAAAATAACCTTCTCCAGATACGAAGATTCTTCATGCGGAGCCGTCTGCGGGGGAAGACTTTGGAGATGCTGGGTTATGGAACTTGGGTGCGAGTATGCATTCCATGGTCGAGTGTAAGATTGAAGCCTGCCGGGGTTGCCGGAGTTGCCGTCTCAGGCGCAAGAGTAAGATAGAGACTTTGACGACGACGAACGTGATTTGATCAGCGGGAACGTTGCGGTGGTGCGATTGACGGATGTGGCAACCTAATGACATGACATTCTTAGAGACAACTGACACAGATCGTAAATACGATTAGCCCGACCGCTTGACCAAGCGGCGGGGGAAATCGGAGCTGAGATGATATTATTTTTAATACCAATGTGCAGAATATCATATCGATCTGGTTCCGTTCGGACCGGCGAGAGAGAGTGCTTACTATACTTATAGGTATAACTACGTTTGAAGAGATGACATTGTGCGAGCGCGCTAAGAGTCCGAAAGGCGCTGAACGTGGAGAATGGCAACTGTTGTAGAACTTAACCAGGTACTTTCTACATCGTGCACTTTGGCTCCAAGTTTGCTGCGCCTACGAGGAATCTTCTATCGGCCATTCCGTACAATGGCACAGATAGATAGATAGATAGATAGAGAGAGATGGGGAAGGGGGAGAAAGAAAGAGTTCACTGGTAAGGCTGATGCGGGTTATACGGAGGCGGCCGGCAATTCGTATTTCCGGC